CTGGGTTTCCAAACCTTGGCTCTTGCCAACCTGTGCCTAATACTTTCTGGAATTAGGTAAACAGGGTGTGTCCCTCCAGGGAGACAGTGGGCCTTCCATTCCAACAAACATCTCTGGGATTTCCATGTGCAGGGTGGGATACACGGAATTTCAGTTTGGTTTGGAGACTCTTAAGCACGGTGATGGGTTTCTGTGTGTGTCAGGGAGGGGGGGGTGGGAGCCGAGGAGGGGTGAGCAGGGGAAAGGTGACCCTAATAGCAGGCAAAGAGGTACAACTCGAGACAGAACACACACATTACCATTTACAATAACTTGCATTTCTATAGCGCCCTTCATGTGGGGTAGCGTCCTGGAGAGCTTCACAGTGGCGGAGTCTGACAACGAGCCAAGGGAGAGGGAGGGGTGAGGTGACCATAAGCACAATCAAACAGTTGGCCCTCATTTGGGCATTTTAATAAGAGATACAAGGCCGGAATACATTTAATTAACTGTAAGGCAGGCATTTGATCAGGGAGTCTCATCACCTTGTGAACCAAGAATTCTTGCAAACATCTATTTCCACTCCCACAGCAAAGCTAAGTGGTCTCCGTTCTGCAGTGATTGCTACAACCTCTGGCAAAATGCTTTCCTTTTTCGCAAACATCAATCAGACATGTTTAAAGCTATTATTAAAGCTGTTGCGTCTAATTTGGATGTTAGAAACCTATTTTGTGGTACAGTAATGGCTGGTCTGTGTGTCTGTGAAATTGCTTGTTTTTTTGTTTGCATCTGCATTTCATCTCGAAGAAAATTAATTCCTTTTTTCGGGTGGGGGGGGGGGGGGGCGGGAAACAATCACATCCCTCAGCTGTGAGCAATGAATAAATAAATTTACCTTTCGATCTTTCAAGTGTTCCAGACTAATTTTACAGCAACCCAAGACCAACTTATTGTCTAATTTCAGATATTATTATTCTCGCTCCCCCACCTCCTCTTTCCTCTGTTTGTCTTTGGCTTCAGATCTTCGATTATAACATTTAAGACTGTGCAGGGCTTCAAAATCCTTTTTTATAACTGTGGGGAATGGGCTTCCCAATGAAGACTGTGGAGGCAAGAATTATTCCGAGTCTAGACAATGGCCTTAAGGTTCAGCATTTAGATAATAATCTTTGCATTTGATATAGCACCTTGTTGCTTCTTCTAGACGTCTCAAAGCGCATCACAAAATATAATGTAAAGTGAATTGACTGTATGTTTTGTGGACGAAACATGGCAGCCAATTGAAAACAACAGTGTCCCTCAAACAGTCGTGGATTATGTGACCAAATTATTATTATTTTTTTGAAGAAATTATTACCCCCGAAAAGCGATCCGAAATCGACTACCAACCAGGTTCCTACTTACTGTTGGTAGACAGAAGTGCGTGGAGTAAGGAAACTTGCCCAAGTTTTTGCCCTGCCGGGAATTGAATCTCGGTCCTCTCGCTTGCAAGGCGGGTACTCTAACCACTGAGCTACAGTGGGTCCTCCTGACGTGAAAGGCGCTTTACAAATGTAATTTGTTGTTGTTGCTGTTACTGATATGGATTCTTCGACCTAGCAATGCATACTGCTGCTGTACCTATCTGTGCATCTTCCCTTCACGTCCAGTCCAAACACCCTTTCACCCGCTGTTCGTATTCTGTCAGAATCCCTCTTCTACAAACTCCCATCCTTCCACAAAAATGCAGTCATGCCACTTTACAGTAAGATCCTGAAGTACAGACGTTGAGAGGCGCTACACACGAATGCAAGGATGATTATCATTATTATCCCAGTCTCAATCGCCTGACTAACTGCATTTTGACTCAGGTACGAGAAAGGTTTCATCGCACTCAGCAACAAAGTACAACAAGACTTACCTTCTGGGTTTCCGAGTCACAAAATGTCAGCCCAAAGTAGTCCTTCTCCAGAAGATTCAGATGGTCGCAGACCTGATCAAACAAGACTTGACCTTTGGCACGTTTCTAAACAAAAAAGGAAAAAAAGGGCAGCATTAATGTGAAGAAGAGGGGGAAAAAAAAAGGCTTGAAAGGAGGAACTCATTTGAAGTACGTCAAACACATTTCCAGGGCTCAAACTTCAGATGGAGATTAAAAAGGAGATTAAGGATGCTTTGCTTCCCGCACCACAAAGCTATCTGCCCCCTGCACCTTTTGTTGTCAATCACCTTTCCAGCCTCTTGATCTACAATATTTTCGAGGCAGGGGTGCTGGAAGTTGAAAGGGTTTCTGAAGACTTTAGAGAATTTGGACAAAGCAAGGCCAAATTGGATTTGCAAAACCCTTGCAGTTTTTGCTAAGATCATTCACAAACCCCTGGTGGCCACTTAGCTCTGAGAGCTATTCGATCTTCACCGTGATACCGTTGACCACTCTATCCTGCTCCACCGCCTCTCCTCTCACCTCAACCTTCACAGTTCTGTCCTTGAATAAATTTCCTTCCCGCCACCTCCCTCCACAAGCTGCAGGTCATTCAGAACTCTGCAGCTCGTGTACTGTCCCGCACCAGGCTTCGGACCACATCACTCCCACCCTCGCTCGCCTCCACTGGCTCCCCATCCCCCAGAGGATTGATTTCAAGATCCTCATCCTCACCTACAAGGCCATTCACGGCCTTGCTCCCTCCTACCTCTCCAACCTACTATCCCCCTACCTACCTGCCCGTACCCTCCGTTCCTCTGGCTCTGGTCTGCTCCACGTCCCCCGCCCCAACCGCCCTACCATCGGTGGTCGGGCCTTCAGCCTCTCAGCCCCCAGGCTCTGGAACTCCATCCCCCAGTGCCTTCGCCTTGCTTCCTCCCTTTCCTCCTTCAAGGCCGGTCTCAAAACCTTTCTCTTTGACCGTGCCTTCAGCTCCCCTCTCGACTCTCTTCCCCCTCCTCGCTCCCTCCCTTCCCTCCCCTCACCCTGACCATTTCCCCCCTCCTTGCTCCCTCCCTTCCCTCACCCTGACCATTTCCCCCCTCCTCGCTCCCTCCCTTCCCTCCCCTCACCCTGACCATTTCCCCCCTGCTCGGGTCATGACCCAACTGTGCAGCGCCTTGGGACGTCCTTCTGACGTGAAAGGCGCTTTATAAATGGAATCTTGTTGTTGTTGTTGTTGTTGCCTTCGACACCGTTGACCAGTCTATCCTCATCCACCGCCTCTCCTCTCACCTCAACCTTCATGGCTTTGTCCTTGAATGGTTCAGATTGTACCTCTCACACTGTCTCCACTTCAACTCCACAAACGGTTTCTCCTCTAGCCCCCGCACCATCTTGTGCAGGGTTCCTGAGGCTCTGTCCTTGGTCCCCTCCTCTTCAATATCTATATGCTCCCTCTTGGTGACATCATCCACAGACATGGGGTCAACTTCTACATGTATGCGGATGACACCCAACTGTACCTCTCTGCCTCCACCCTTGACTCCAGGACCACTGCCGTCCTGACAAAATGTCTATTGGACATCAAGTCCTGGATGAGAGTCAGTTGAATGTCAACAAGACCGAGGTTCTCCTGATTGGCTCTCGTCAGCGCCTCCTCACCTCAGGTGCTGAACGCATCACCATCCAAGGATGCACATTCCAACTCATTGAGCCAGTCCAGAACCTTGGCTTCTTGTTTGACCTTCAACATCCTTTCTACCCCACATTCGTGCCACGACCCACTCTGCCTTCCCCCTCCTCCGCAACATCGCCCGGCTCCGCAACTCTCTCACACCGCAGGCCGCCAGAACCATCATACGTGCATTCATAACATCCAGGCTTGAGTACGCAAACTCCCTGCTTGTCAGCCTCCCCAACTCCTGCCTCCATAGTCTGCAGATTACCTAGAACTCTGCAGCCCATGTCCTCTCCCAGACCAGGCTCCGTGACCCTATCACCTCCATCCTCAGCCGACTACACTGGCTTCCCTCACGTAGAGGATACAGTTCAAGATCCTGGTCCTCACTTTCAAAGCCTCCATGGTCTTGCTCCCCTACCTCTTCGATCCTACCCCACCAACCTGCCCACTCCCTCAGCCCAGCGGGATCCGGCCTGCTTCACATCCCTGCCTCGCCCTCCCACCACTGGCGGGCAGGCCTTCAGCCACTCTGCTCCACCCTCTGGAACTCCATCCCGCAGTCCCTCCGCTTCGCCCTCACTTGCCTCCTACAAGACCCTCCTCTTCGACTGTGCTTTCGATCTCCCGCTTCCCCCTCCCCACCCTCCACTCTCACCCTCCCAATTCTGACCCCCATCTCGGGTCTAAAAGACTGACTGTCCAGCGCCTTGGGACGTCCTCCCAACATGAAAGGCGCGATACAAATGTAATTTTGTGTAGACCTTCCTCTTCGACCGTGATTATTGTCATCTCCTCCCTTCCCCAGGCTTTTTATCAAGCTCTGTTAAACGAGACGCTAGCCTGCGTGAACGGAGGTATATAAATGCAAGTTATTTTTTATATATATATGTATATATTGCGCATTTATATATTATACACTCCTTGCATGTGGACACACACAATATATCCACATTACACCCATATACTATGACAGTGTTTTATAAATGGGCTGTTGTGTAAGAACTGAATTGTTACTACAGCTCAAATCAGATAGGGAAATCTCTTTGTCCTTTGTCGGAAAAAGACGTCCAAAAAGATCTGCAATAAATTCCGATAGGAAATGTGATATTTTACAACCACTCCTGAAGGCGATTTGCCTCCGAAGCGCAGGCCTGCGATTTGGATGCATGTTCATCTTCAACCAGGATTTAGGAAGAGAGCAAGATTATATTTTCCACAGTTTAGGTTGCTTAGAAACAGCAAAGTGAAAAGGGTTTACATTCCAGCAATGCAGAGACATTGCTGTCTTCTTTCCGCCCCTTCCTCAGCTCCTCTGCTTTCTCCAATACTTTTCTCGCACGTCGGACATTAATTCATCTCAAACTTGGCAATAAATTGTGTCCCTATCGTTGCAGTAGTTTTGCGTCACTGTGGTAGTCACCTTGACAACGGAACATAGGCTTGAAATGGTGCAAGAAAGGTCAGTGTTTCCTTCTAGCCTGTGGGGGGGGTGGGGGGGGGGTAACTAGCTATAAAAACAAGTGCTTAATGGGAATGCTGTACCGGTGACACTGCTTAAGTGTTCACCCTGACCTCAGAAATTCACAAAGGCTGTGTGATCGGTGGCTGAGCAGCACTGAGCAGGCAGATGGGAAGGAGATTTGCAGCATTGGAGGGAGCGCAGTGTAGATTGACTGGATGTTACCAGGGATGAAGGGATACTGATATCAAGAAAGACAGGTTGGAGCTTATCTCTCTGGAGATGAGGCGATCGAGAGGGACCCGATGGAGGTATTCTAAGGGATTGAGACCAATCGATATGGTGGACCTTAATGGGCTGTTCACACTTGTTGGTGAGTCCAACATGAGAGGGCATAAATATGAGATGGAAAATAATAATAATAATAATCCTTGTGTTTGACATAGCACCTTATCACGTCATTGAGACATCTCGAAGTGCTTCACAGGACATATTATAAAGTGGATTGAGTGTAGGCGAAACCAATCTAATTAAATTATAAATTAAATAATCTAATTAAATGAATGAAACCAGATCCAATCAGGAGCAGCTCTAGCCAGTCAGTTGTGTAAATCGGTTTGCATTATAATATTAATAATAATAATCCTTGCATTTGATATAGCGCCTTATCATGTCTTCGAGACGTCTCAAAGCGCTTCACTTAATATACTGTAAAGTGAATTGACAGTCTGTTTTGTGGGCGAAATGGGGCAGCCAATTGGACACAGCAGTGTCCCAGTATCCTTCTGATGTGAAAGGCGCGATTTAAATCTAAATTGTTGTTGTTGTTGTTCTCTTTGACCATGGCTTCGGTCAATCAACTCCTCATCCCCGCCCCACTGCCCTCTGTGCTCGCAGTAATCTTGCAGAGGTTATTGAAGGGTTCTGGCCCGAACAGTGTGCAGGAGGACAGAGCAGAGAGTAGCATGCTTAAAAGCTGTGGAAAATTCCTGGAGGCGGCAATGAGTTGCAATCACTCCAGCAGCACACCGGGTTTTTAAACCTAACTGCCTTGCAATCACATGAGCTGCATTAATGCCGCACATTAAATAAACCAGAGCAGTCAAGCAGTCAGTCAGGGTAATGGCATGAAACGATCCTCTCAACATGCATCAGGTCAGCAGAGAGGGAAGAAAAACCACATTACGGCTTGTGGAATAATAATAATGATAATAATCCTTGCATTTGATATAGCGCCTTATCACGTCGTTGAGACACCTCAATAATAATAATAATAATAATAATAATCCTTGCATTTGATATAGCGCTTTTCACGTCTTCGAGACGTCCCAAAGTGCTTCACAGAATATACTGTAAAGTGAATTGACTGTATATTTGTGGGCGAAACGCGGCAGCCAATTGCACACAGCAGTGTCCCACAAACAGTCGTGGATTGAGTGATATTATTATTATAATTTTGTGGTTGTTCTCTTTGACTGAATGGTGAGAGGGTTGGGGATGGGTCGAATGGTTGTCTTCTGTGCTGTAGATTTCTACGGTTCTGTGAAGGTCCTTGTAAAATCGTGGGTTAAAAATGTAGTTGACAAACCAAAGGATCCGGAGCTTACACCGAATTTCTGATTTGAATGAACCTGATTCTGATCGGAATGAACCACAGATGTGCCCTCACGCTCAGGGACCCGGAGTTCCATCTCTTCCTTACTTTCTTTTTGTTGTGATTTAAGATTTAACGATGCGTAGAAACTGTTCTTAAAGAGTTCTTAAATTTTAGGATCTGTGGAAAACCTGGCTTTCGGTCACACCCTCTCCCCCTACCCTTCCAAAACTCATACTTAATTAACGATATCTTTTTTAAGAAGCTAGCCTCAAAACCGATGCTTTGCTTTTTGTCTCTCCCGCTCCCTCACACCCTGATTTGGGGTCACTGTCAAGCGCTCCGAGACGCTACCCCACGTGAAGGGCGCTATATTAAAACAACATTACATTTGTAAAGCGCCTTTTACGTCGGGAGGACGTCCCAAGGTGTTGGATAGGTCCCGAGCTGGGGGTCGGGATCGGGGAGGGTAGAGGGCAGGGAGGAAAGCAGAGAGGTCGAAAGCACGGTTGAAGAGGAGGGTCTTGAGATGGGTCTTGAAGGAGGCAAGGGACGGGGCGAGGCGCAGGGACTGTGGGATGGAGTTCCAGAGGGTGGGGCAGAGCGGCAGAAGGCTCGCCCGCCAATAGTGGGGCGAGGCGGGGGATGTGAAGCAGGCTGGGGTAGAAAGGATAGTTGAGGGTCAAACAAGACCCCAAGGTTCTGGACTGACTTAGTAAGGTGGCGGATGCAACCATGGATGGTGATAATGTCAGCACCTGAGGTGAGGAGGCGCTGACGGGAGCCAATCAGGAGATCCTCGGTCTTGTTGACGTTCAACTGAAGAAAGTTAGCTCTCATCCAGGACTTGATGTCCAATAGACATTTTGTCAGGACAGCAGTGGTCCTGGAGTCAAGGATGGAGGCAGAGAGGTACAGTTGGGTGTCATCCGCATACATGTAGAAGTTGACCCCATGTCTGTGGATGATGTCACCAAGAGGGAGCATATAGATATTGAAGAGGAGGGGACCAAGGACAGAGCCCTGAGGAACGCCGCACGAGACGGTGCGGGGGATAGAGGAGAAACCATTTGTGGAGATGAAGTGGCGGTGGTGTGAGAGGTATGATCTGAACCAGTCAAGCACAGAGCTGTGAAGTTTGAGGTGAGAGGTGAGGCGGTGGATGAGGATAGAGTGGTCAACGGTGTCAAAGGCAGCAGTGAGGTCAAGGAGGATGAGGAGGCAGAGGGAGCCCTGGTCGCAGATGGACAGAATGTCATTTGTCACTTTGACCAGAGCTGTTTCTGTGCTGTGGGCGGCACGGAAACCCAATTGGAGGGGTTTGTGAAGGGAGTGGTGGGAGAGGAAGGAGCAAAGCTGGGAAGCAACAACTCGTTCCAGGAACTTGGAGAGGAAAGGGAGGTTGGAGATGGGGCGGTAGTTTGAGAGTAGAGGTGGATCCAGGGAGGGTTTTTTAAGGATAGGAGTGATGATGGCGGTTTTTAATGGGGTGGGAACAGTACCAGTGGACAGGGAGAGGTTTATGATGTCTGTGAGTAGAGGGGCAAGGAGGTGGAGCTGGGAGGTAAGGAGAGGGGTAGGGATAATAATAATAATAATAATCCTTGCATTTGATATAGCGCTTTTCACTCGGAGGACGTCCAAAGCGCTTCACAGAACACACTGTAAAGTGAATTGACTGTATATTGTGGCGAACGCGCAGCCAATTGCACACAGCAATGTCCCACAAACAGTCGTAGATTGAAAATGACCAATTTTATTATTGTTTTTGGTTTTTGGAGGGATTATTATTAGGCTCTGTGTGGAGTAAGGAAACTTGCCCAAGGTTTCGCCCTCTGCCTGGAATTGAACTCAGTCTCTCGCTTGCAAAGCGAGTGCTCTAACCACTGAGCTACAGGACTCCAGGGATGGGGTCGAGAGAGCAGGTGGTCGGTTTCATGCGGATTACAGTGTCGATGTGAGAGGTTTAATAATTCAAGTTGTTGTTTTTGCGATCCTTAAGTGAAGCAGAACACTGCACCGCTTTTTTTTCCCTGTGCAACAAAAATGTAGAATGTAATTGATGTAACGTATCATAAAATGTTCCCCCCCAAAAAAAACATTTTCACCAGTTGCAGTTGCTGCAACACAATCCAGTTTCGAGAGCATTTGCCGCTAACTTCCTGAGCTTTAGCATTCACGGGCAAAACACGACGACGTAATTTCTTTTCAGGAGTAAGTGATTCTTTTATTTAGCGCGCTCGTCTCTTTTTATCCAGTATGTGATGGGAAATTTATTATGACACCATTTTTCTAATAAAGGATAGAAAATACTGGCAGGGTTGAAAGTCGAACAGCCAATTGTCTCATTTTTATGCTCGAAATATTGCTGTTCTTTTTTTTCTGCTCTGTAGCTTTTTCAAGTTGCCTTTCATCTTATACTTAGTATGTGATGATTTTCTTCCCCTCTCTCCTTCTTCCTCCCCCACCCTCCACTTACACAGAATAATTTGTAACTATGACAACTGAATCCGCCATGGATTCTGAGTTGAAGAATGCTCTGGACGAACAACCGAACCAGGAGATAGCAGCCAGCAAAGAGCATCGACTGGACAGCGGCAAACAGGAGCAGGTGAGGGCAGCGCCTGAAGGGACTTTGGGGCTTTACTGAGCAGCCACAAGTAGGCTTGGCTTCTCTGCGCAACTTAGATACTCTTGATGGTGCAATTTACATTGCAGGCAGGACACACACACGCTCACACTCACACGCACAGGTAGCAATGCAAACATCCAGTCCACCTACAAAATTACACGGACACTACACTTTGCGGTAAACTCCCGTGAAGCACTTTGAGGCAGTCCTTTGGACGCACAAGGAGCTATGCAAGGATTATATTGTTATTGATTGCTATTGTTATTACTGTTACCGCGAACTGAATCCAGACTAAAAATTGTGCAGCAGTGTGTGGAAAGTTTGCCTACAAATATGCACTTCCTCCACTTTACAGAAAACTTTGAGACGTGTTGACGTGATAAGGCGATCTATGAAATGGAAGCATTATTATCATTAAATTCAGCCTTAATTTGGAAGCTGGTAATTTGCTGTGAGCTGCAAAGTAAGGTATTGTACCGTGAGCTTAAGAAGGGGTTTCCTTCAATATCTATCTCCTTTGCCTGACAGGATGCTGAGAAAGATAAAAAACCAGAAGCTTTTCCAAAAGTAATTGAGGAACAGGAAACTGGGGAAACGGATGACGACAGGACATCAGAAAGGACGACGCCGGGCAAAACCCCCAAATCTCCATTGAAGGGGTCCAAAAAACCAAAGAACATGCCCTGCAAGATAACCTTGTTGGATGGCACAGACTACGAGTGCGAAGTGGAGGTGAGAGAAATGGGCACAAGTGGGTAAAGTGGTCAATTCCACCACGAGCAAGTGGTGAATTGCCAAATTTGTGAACGTCCCTGTTTGTTCATTTTAGCTTTACCGTCCGTGCGAGTGAGGAGGTTGAAGTAAGCAAGCTTTCCTTCTGTTTGTCCAGTTAGGACCATCCTACCCGTTAGGGCTTTGGTTTGCAGGGTTAACAGGAGCTGAAGTGGGTTGATTTCCTGCTCCACTGTGACTGGTCTGTTCTTCCAAGTCCTGCCAATGAGCTATAGTCCTGTGCTGCCATCAGCAGTGCCCTGGAATACCATGGACCCAGCTGGCTCAGGAACCCGACTACCAAACCCGAAACAGACGGCTGGCCCGATTCCGACATTCCGTTGCCTTGGATCCAATTTAGCTCCAAGGAGACCCTGCTTACCTCCCCCCCACACCCCACCCCACCCCAAGGAGAATAAGTCGGCTTCCCCTCTCTAAAAAGAAAAGTATGTACGCTCAAACTAAAGATATCAAGAATACACATGTCTGCCCTCGACTCTTCTGCGGATTGAGTTTGATCTGTCTGCGTCCTCTCCATTGGCATTCGAGTCCTTTGCAAGATCGAAAGATCTCGGGTTGAGAGACAGACAGAGAGAGAGGGAAAGAGAGAGCATTATCCTGAATTGGTTGGGTTACATAAGGCACTGTATTCCAAAGTTAGATTTTTTGTACCCAGCTGAAATTGTCTAGCAGTCATTAAAAACTGTCTCTCTCTTTATCCCTCTCTTTTTACAAAACCTATCTCTTAACCTTCAACCACCTTCTGACCCACCCCATTTCAGGCTCCCACTAAGTAAATCTTTGAGGTGCATATAAATGCAAGTTGCTGTCATAAAGTTCAGAATAACAGTAATATTTCTGCATGACTATTAGGGAATGTAGATATGTAGAAACAGTGTATATGCGTGTGGTTGTAAGTTTCAACTATGCAAATGATTTAAGCACATACTGTATGAAGCGTTTAAGACTGATTAATTATAGATTATGGCTGTAGCACAGCACAAAGCATTAGCTTGAATTTATTGGGTTACATAAAGTACCGTATTTCAAAGTCATTAACCTTTTAAAGTACATTATTATCTGCCCATATGCAGGGCACTTTTGATAGAACCCTGTATCCTGGCACTAACCCATGTAACGTTATACCGTTGATCCATTTCCTGTCTCAGTTTTGGCCAAATATTGATCTTTGTTTCAGAAAGTGAGGCGTGGGTGGACGGACCAGGGTTGAGGTAAGGGAAGAGAATAATTGGAAATACGAGTATTATCATCTACCTGAACACAGGCCTTAAATTTCTCCTAGCCTTAGACGTTGAAACTAAAGAACAACCCAAAGACAAATTGAGCAATTTTAACCAGACGATTGATTGTTGGCTGGGATGCCGGGAGAAAGTAGCTTCTCTTCCCAAATGTTGCCACGGGGTTTCTAATGTACGCCTGAGCAAGCAGCAGACTTGGTTTCATGTCTCGTGTAAAGGATTTCAACACTGCAGTGTCAGCCTAGAGTAAATGCTCATGTGTCATTGTGGGGCTTGAACCCACAACCTTCTGATCCAGAGGCGAGAGTGTTACCAACCGAGCCAGGATACAGTGATAGTGGAGTTTGTGCAGTGTGCTCAGTTTGCTGAACCTGTGGTTAATTAAAGTTTCCCTCCAGTGTACAATCAATAGAGTTGGTTTTCAAAGAGGCGTGACGTTTTATTAGCAGTGCACCTCCGCTGGATACAGCACGGAACGTAGCAGTGTATCAGCATCTTGCCCTTATTTTTCTCCCATTACTTGCAGCATTTGATTTCCCCATCGCTCAGTTCACTGATAGAGACAATCAGATTGACATCGAGGAGATGCATTAAGTGTTCCAAAGTTAGTTAACTGTCCCTGGGCTGTGTGTGACCTTGCCACACATTAGAATGACAACAATGAGCCATTGCTCTGTGCATAATGTCTCAATGCTTTATGCAGTCGGTGTGGAGTGAGTAGGGGGGGGGCGGGGGGGCATAGGTGGCTGAATGTCAGAGAGGCAAAGGTAGTGTTTGGGAGGGATTTGAAGTGGGGAGGGTAGGGCACAAGGTGAAAGGATTTTGAGAAACGGAGGCAAAGATAAAACAAAGACAGATTACGGCAGACAAAATCATGCCATTGACTGCTTGTTGCTTGGGTTTCCGAGCTCTTGATGGGGAGGGGGGAGGTGGACGACACGAGGGGAACAGCTTAAGAGCTGGCACACAGTGGGTGGTCTGTCCCCCGCAGGAGAAGAGTGTCGGCATTGTTGAGAAACGCTGAGAGCAAACTTAAATGAAAATCGTTCTGCATTTTCTGTGACGAATAAATTGTGCTTAACACACCACTGCTGCTGGGAGCCCGTCAATCTTGCCCTCTTTGCTGACACTCGTTAATTAAAGCTTTGCCTATGGACTTGCGGAGTTTCTCCGGTGTGACGCTCATTTAAGTCTTTCTTCAGTGAAGCCCAACTCACGATGGGTTTTCCACCAACACGGGGGAAAAAAAATCTTTGCCAATGCAATGGTAGTTATTAAGCTCACGTTTTTAATGGGGTTTCCTCAGAAAACTCCATCCCGCACTGCCGCGCTCTCGATTGATCGTGAGGCAAGGCTGTAAGGATACAGGTCTGTTAGGGTATCAGCCTGCAGGTTGTGGGTTCAAGCCCCATGTCAGGACATTGAACTCACATACTCAGCTGACCCTCCAGTAGAGTGCTGTGGGTGCACAGTATTGTCAGGTGTCGTTCCTCGGATGAGATGTTAAACCGGGGTCCCCTCAGCCCTGATGTTCAGCCGGACATTAAAGATCCCGTGGCACGACTCGAAAAGAAAAGGGAGTTTCTCCCAGTGCCCTGGCCAACACTCTCCGAGATAAAATTGGTCATGGCTGTTTGTGGGACATTGCAGCACGTAAATCGAATGCCGCATTCGCCTCTAAAACAAAATAGAATCGCTTTACAGTACAATTCCACTGAAAAATATCCTATTCCACGTTTTAGTGCAAAATGCCTTTCTGAGCATCTTGAAACTCTTATGGTAATAACATGCCTGTAAAGCTGATGGCTGTGCTGCCAGGATTATCGTGACTGTTACTGGCGCATTCTACTCAATGTTAAAAAAAATCAAACGGGATACAAAACCCAAACATTTTTTCACAAAACTGTCTATGTAAATGTCCTTAAAGCAGCGTTCAAGGCAGTAATTGGTGCTGTTTCTACATCGCAATGTTTGCAGAGCCTGTAAGACCATTTTAGCTTTAAAATGTTCAGAATTATGAAAAATATATTCAGGCTGAATTTGGAATCTGGTTTCTTTTAAAGAATTTAGTCTCGTCCTTCCAGAAGACCCACCCTCCCTGCCTCATGTCAAGCTGTTTCTCAAATGGGTCCTGGAATCCTGATCTCAACCACGCCTTTCCTGGTAGCTCCAATGTTAATTGCCCTCTGTGAAAGGAATTGCCCTTCTGCTGTCTGCCCTGAAATGTGTCCTCGGGTGACCTCAAATGCTGGCTCTGTGCATTTGAAATTATTGCGAAGATAGCAGTTTCCCCACCCTGCAAGACTGCTCCTTTGCTATGTGTCTGGAATCGCATATGGTTCTGATATCCCTGCCTTTGCCTCGATTTACACGTCACAAACCAGAACCCTGAGCGCTTAATGAGTAACACGCTGCACTTGACGGAAGCAATAATCATCATAATAATAATCCTTGCGTTCCTTATAGCGCCTTATCATGCCATTGAGACGCCTCAGAGCGCTGCACAGAATATACTGTAAAGTGGGTTAACTACGTGTTTTGTGTATAAAGTAACGAGTTGGTGGCATTTGTGTGCATTACATACATACGTGGGAATATCAATTGAGGGATATATTTTAAAAAATGCTATCAGCTGTTGGATAATGGGTAGCGAGCTCTAGACGTATCTTGAGATCGCTGCATATTTACACCTTTTGTTAAATCCAGAGTGGAAATTATTCGCACGCTTGTGTGTGCGTGTGGGGGGGGAGGTGGAGGGTGGACCAATCTGCTGACTTTATATTTAAAAAAAAGGCCTGTTTCAAATGGAAAATCCTTTACAGGTTATTGTGTGGGCACAGAACAAATCATTTGAATTTTCTAAGGATGGTCTGAATGATTCATAAGATTTTTTACAACAAAATTACATTTGTATCGCGCCTTTCATGTTGGGAGGACATCCCAAGGCGCTGGACAGTCAGTCTTTTAGACCCGAGATGGGGGTCAGAATTGGGGAGGGTGGAGAGTGGAGGGTGGGGGAGGGGGAAGCAGGGAGATCGAAAGCACAGTCGAAGAGGAGGGTCTTGTAGGAGGCAAGTGAGGGGCGAAGCGGAGGGACTGCGGGATGGAGTTCCAGAGGGTGGGAGCAGAGTGGCTGAAGGCCTGCCCGCCAGTGGTGGGGAGGGCGAGGCAGGGGATGTGAAGCAGGCCGGATCCCGCTGGGCTGAGGGAGTGGGCAGGTTGGTGGGGGTTAGGAGATCGAAGAGGTAGGGGGAGCAAGACCATGGAGGGCTTTGAAAGTGAGGACCAGGATCTTGAACTGTATCCTCTACGTGAGGGAAGCCAGTGTAGTCGGCTGAGGATGGAGGTGATAGGGTCACGGAGCCTGGTCTGGGAGAGGACATGGGCTGCAGAGTTCTAGGTAATCTGCAGACTATGGAGGCAGGAGTTGGGGAGGCTGACAAGCAGGGAGTTTGCGTACTCAAGCCTGGATGTTATGAATGCACGTATGATGGTTCTGGCGGCCTGCGGTGTGAGACAGTGGCGGAGCCGGGCGATGTTGCGGAGGAGGGGGAAGGCAGAGTGGGTCGTGGCACGAATGTGGGGTAGAAAGGATAGTTGAAGGTCAAACAAGAAGCCAAGGTTCTGGACTGGCTCAATGAGTTGGAATGTGCATCCTTGGATGGTGATGCGTTCAGCACCTGAGGTGAGGAGGCGCTGACGAGAGCCAATCAGGAGAACCTCGGTCTTGTTGACATTCAACTGACTCTCATCCAGGACTTGATGTCCAATAGACATTTTGTCAGGACGGCAGTGGTCCTGGAGTCAAGGGTGGAGGCAGAGAGGTACAGTTGGGTGTCATCCGCATACATGTAGAAGTTGACCCCATGTCTGTGGATGATGTCACCAAGAGGGAGCATATAGATATTGAAGAGGAGGGGACCAAGGACAGAGCCTCAGGAACCCTGCACAAGATGGTGCGGGGGCTAGAGGAGAAACCGTTTGTGGAGTTGAAGTGGAGACAGTGTGAGAGGTAGGATCTGAACCATTCAACAACAACAACAACAACAAGATTCCATTTATAAAGCGCCTTTCACGTCAGGAGGACGTCCCAAGGCGCTGCACAGTTGGGTCATGACCCGAGCAGGGGGGAAATGGTCAGGGTGAGGGGAGGGAAGGGAGGGAGCGAGGAGGGGGGAAATGGTCAGGGTGAGGGAAGGGAGGGAGCAAGGAGGGGGAAATGGTCAGGGTGAGGGGAGGGAAGGGAGGGAGCGAGGAGGGGAAGAGAGTCGAGAGGGGAGCTGAAGGCACGGTCAAAGAGAAAGGTTTTGAGACCGGCCTTGAAGGAGGAAAGGGAGGAAGCAAGGCGAAGGCACTGGGGGATGGAGTTCCAGAGCCTGGGGGCTGAGAGGCTGAAGGCCCGACCACCGATGGTAGGGCGGTTGGGGCGGGGGACGTGGAGCAGACCAGAGCCAGAGGAACGGAGGGTACGGGCAGGTAGGTAGGGGGATAGTAGGTTGGAGAGGTAGGAGGGAGCAAGGCCGTGAATGGCCTTGTAGGTGAGGATGAGGATCTTGAAATCAATCCTCTGGGGGATGGGGAGCCAGTGGAGGCGAGCGAGGGTGGGAGTGATGTGGTCGCGAAGCCTGGTGCGGGACAGTACACGAGCTGCAGAGTTCTGAATGACCTGCAGCTTGTGGAGGGAGGTGGCGGGAAGGAAATTTATTCAAGGACAGAACTGTGAAGGTTGAGGTGAGAGGAGAGGCGGTGGAGCAGGATAGAGTGGTCAACGGTATCAGCGGTGAAGATCGAATAGCTCTCAGAGCTAAGTGGCCACCAGGGGTTTGTGAATGATCTTAGCAAAAACTGCAAGGGTTTTGCAAATCCAATTTGGCCTTGCTTTGTCCAAATTCTCTAAAGTCTTCAGAAACCCTTTCAACTTCCAGCACCCCTGCCTCGAAAATATTGTAGATCAAGAGGCTGGAAAGGTGATTGACAACAAAAGGTGCAGGGGGCAGATAGCTTTGTGGTGCGGGAAGCAAAGCATCCTTAATCTCCTTTTTAATCTCCATCTGAAGTTTGAGCCCTGGAAATGTGTTTGACGTACTTCAAATGAGTTCCTCCTTTCAAGCCTTTTTTTTCCCCCTCTTCTTCACATTAATGCTGCCCTTTTTTTCCTTTTTTGTTTAGAAACGTGCCAAAGGTCAAGTCTTGTTTGATCAGGTCTGCGACCATCTGAATCTTCTGGAGAAGGACTACTTTGGGCTGACATTTTGTGACTCGGAAACCCAGAAGGTAAGTCTTGTTGTACTTTGTTGCTGAGTGCGATGAAACCTTTCTCGTACCTGAGTCGAAATGCAGTTAGTCAGGCGATTGAGACTGGGATAATAATGATAATCATCCTTGCATTCGGTGTAGCGCCTCTCAACGTCTGTCTCAGGATCTTACTGTAAAGTGGCATGACTGCATTTTTGTGGAAGGATGGGAGTTTGTAGAAGAGGGATTCTGACAGAATACGAACAGCGGGTGAAAGGGTGTTTGGACTGGACGTGAAGGGAAGATGCACAGATAGGTACAGCAGCAGCATGCATTGCTAGGTCGAAGAATCCATATCAGTAACAGCAACAACAACAAATTACATTTGTAAAGCGCCTTTCACGTCAGGAGGACCCCACTGTAGCTCAGTGGTTAGAGCACTCGCCTTGCAAGCGAGAGGACCGAGATTCAATTCCCGGCAGGGCAAAAACTTGGGCAAGTTTCCTTACTCCACGCACTTCTGTCTACCAACAGTAAGTAGGAACCTGGTTGGTAGTCGATTTCGGATCGCTTTTCCGGGGGTAATAATTTCTTCAAAAAAATAATAATAATTTGGTCACATAATCCACGACTGTTTGAGGGACACTGTTGTTTTCAATTGGCTGCCATGTTTCGTCCACAAAACATACAGTCAATTCACTTTACATTATATTTTGTGATGCGCTTTGAGACGTCTAGAAGAAGCAACAAGGTGCTATATCAAATGCAAAGATTATTATCTAAATGCTGAACCTTAAGGCCATTGTCTAGACTCGGAATAATTCTTGCCTCCACAGTCTTCATTGGGAAGCCCATTCCCCACAGTTATAAAAAAGGATTTTGAAGCCCTGCACAGTCTTAAATGTTATAATCGAAGATCTGAAGCCAAAGACAAACAGAGGAAAGAGGAGGTGGGGGAGCGAGAATAATAATATCTGAAATTAGACAATAAGTTGGTCTTGGGTTGCTGTAAAATTAGTCTGGAACACTTGAAAGATCGAAAGGTAAATTTATTTATTCATTGCTCACAGCTGAGGGATGTGATTGTTTCCCCGCCCCCCCCCCCCCCCCACCCGAAAAAAGGAATTAATTTTCTTCGAGATGAAATGCAGATGCAAACAAAAAAACAAGCAATTTCACAGACACACAGACCAGCCATTACTGTACCACAAAATAGGTTTCTAACATCCAAATTAGACGCAACAGCTTTAATAATAGCTTTAAACATGTCTGATTGATGTTTGCGAAAAAGGAAAGCATTTTGCCAGAGGTTGTAGCAATCACTGCAGAACGGAGACCACTTAGCTTTGCTGTGGGAGTGGAAATAGATGTTTGCAAGAATTCTTGGTTCACAAGGTGATGAGACTCCCTGATCAAATGCCTGCCTTACAGTTAATTAAATGTATTCCGGCCTTGTATCTCTTATTAAAATGCCCAAATGAGGGCCAACTGTTTGATTGTGCTTATGGTCACCTCACCCCTCCCTCTCCCTTGGCTCGTTGTCAGACTCCGCCACTGTGAAGCTCTCCAGGACGCTACCCCACGTGAAGGGCGCTATAGAAATGCAAGTTATTGTAAATGGTAATGTGTGTGTTCTGTCTCGAGTTGTACCTCTTTGCCTGCTATTAGGGTCACCTTTCCCCTGCTCACCCCTCCTCGGCTCCCACCCCCCCCTCCCTGACACACACAGAAACCCATCACCGTGCTTAAGAGTCTCCAAACCAAACTGAAATTCCGTGTATCCCACCCTGCACATGGAAATCCCAGAGATGTTTGTTGGAATGGAAGGCCCACTGTCTCCCTGGAGGGACACACCCTGTTTACCTAATTCCAGAAAGTATTAGGCACAGGTTGGCAAGAGCCAAGGTTTGGAAACCCAGAGAGTGCATTGGGGTAACTGCTGGAGTCTAACCAACTAAAACCGCATAGCTTGCCATTGAAAGGTGCTGTGTAAATGTAAATTGCATTGCATTACAATCATCACCGTATCTGTAAAAGGTTAATTTAATTGCTTCATTATGAACTTGGCAAATTTCATTCCTTCAGCCTGGAGATCAATGCCAGAGCAGCTTGAATTGATCGTGGCTGACGCCCCTTGTTCTCTTTTCAGTGTGAGTCTGAAAAGAAGTCCTCCCTCTCCTGTCTGTTTCCTGACAGTGTGACTGGTTTGTACTTTCAGAATTGGCTGGATCCTTCAAAAGATATCAAGAAGCAGATTCGAAGTAAGTCCTTTTGTTCCGAGACAGCCACTGGCATGACGGCATTCAGTGTAATCAACACACATCACAGAGGCAGACACTTAACCATTCATTGAGGAGGAGAAATTCCCTCCGGGGTCCAGATTTGTGTAGCATTTACCCTATTTCTGTAGCATTTCAGGGCACACAGTATTTGGCGAATAATTCTTGAAGGGTGTTTCTTTCCTACGTAAGTTTTTTTTAAAAAACCACAGAAAGACAACTAAACTTCAAAGTTAAGACTGAATTCAACAGGCCACCGAATTCTGCACGTTGTGAAATGTCGCTTCCATTGTGTTACCGCCAAACCTTAGCAATAACAGAGAGCTTAATTTGACGCACAGCATCGACAACCATTCGATAATATCGGAGGTCGCTAATCGTTATCTCTCTCCCATTGATGCATCTCCAGCTTTCACTTTCACTTAAAGTTGTACTTCTTCCCATTAGATCGCCCTGTCGTTTCGGATTTGGTGCTGACGAGTATTTAATGATCCGTTTCTCCCTCCCTCTGTCGTCGATTGCTCCGTGTTCCATGCACAAGCGAACCTCCTAGTCATTCCCTTGTCAGATGTGGTTAACGGCGCTCGGAGAATGCCGTTACGTTCGCTATTGCACGTTTGCACACTGTTACTGGTTGATTCATCCGTGAACTGGAAATCCCACAGCCCTCAGTCACTCCTCTTCAGGCACTGGACTTAATAATAACACAACATATTAACCATTACATTTGATATATACGTCGGGAAGACATGTCAAAGCCCTTGTGTTTTTTTTACTGTGAAGTTGCGTGACTGTGTACCTTTTCGTAAGTCAGTTAGATACGGAAAGACACTGAAAATCACCACTCCACAGGGGAGCCCTGTTAAAGGTGGTATTTGTGGTGGTATTATCCTGTTCAAGGTGGTATTATAAAATCCCAGTCCGCTGTATAACAGCGCCGGTCACATGCGCACAGCAGCTGCAGCTGTTCCCGAGCTAAAGAATAACCAGGTTCCGAGTCACTAGTTTACAGACAACAGATCAGCTTTGCAGCTCACAGGAAGTAACGTTGGCGGCAGCCCGATGCCCCAGAAATCGGCCATTTTGTTTCCAGCCGGGTACATGCGTAACAACAATAATAATAATAATAATAATCCTTGCATTTGATACAGCGCCCTATCACATCTTCTAGACGTCCCAAAATGCTTCACAGAATATACTGTAGAGTGAATTGACTGAATATTTTGTGGGTGAAACGCAGCAGTCAATTGCGCACAGCAGCGTCCCACAAACAGTCGTGGATTGAAGTGACCCAATTTTTTTTTAAATTTTTACTCCAACTCCTCCCTCCACAGGCTGCAGATACTAATCCAGAACTCTGCAGCCCGTGTCCTCTCCCGCACCAAACTCCGTGACCCCATCTCCCCCATTCTTGTCCGACTCCATTGGCTTCCTATCCATCAGAGGATCCAGTTCAAGATCCTGGTCCCCACATACAAAGCCCTCCACGGCCTCGCCCCACCCTACCTCTGCGACCTCGTAACCCCCTACCAACCCACCCGTTTTCTCCGCTCAGCCTGCTCCACGTCCCCCGCCCCACTCGCCCCACCATTAGCGGGAGAGCCTTCAGCCACTCTGCCCCCAACCTCTGGAATTCCATCCCCCAGTCACTCCGCCTCGCCCCCTCCTTAGGCTCCTTCAAGTCCTGCCTCAAAACCCTCCTCTTCGACCGTGCCATCGGTCACCCCCCTTCCCCTCCCTTCTCCCGCCCTGACCCCAGCTCGGGTCTGAAATGCTGTACACAGTCCAGCGCCTTGGGACGTCCTCCTGACATGAAAGACGCTATACAAATGTAATCTTGTTGTTATTAACCAAATCCACCCTGATGGAAAGGTGTTACTATAACAGGGCTTCACTCTATAACAAGTGCAATTTCCAGAGGCTGGATGCTAATACAAGCCTAAACCCTGTTTTATAAATATTATTACAAATCTGCCCCATCAGATATTGTGGGGAAATTTGATTTCTGACAGTTGTTTAAGACACTCCCCATTGGCAAATCCGATTTGACATTCCCCTCAGGAAAATCTACAATAGGCCATTCAACATTGTTCATACAATCATCAAGGAACGGAATGACCTGCTACTGAGTATAACAGCAAACACAAAAATAAAGCTCTCTAAGCGAATTGGTGCTGTCTTGCACAGGCAAGATGTGCTTTCTGTGTGTGTGTGTGTGTGTATTTTCTCCTTGGAGTACTTGCAGAGAAGCCCATTCTTTCCTTTTTAATCCACCTCAAGAAAATGTCAATGCTTTACTAAATGTATTCTGGCTCGTGGTACCACATACTGAGGTTTGTTACACGATATCTTCATTCGTCTTTTGAGACAATCGGAAAAATTGAGTTTCACTCAAACAATTTCTGTTCAGTCTTTCACCATGCTCAATCCGCAGAAAATATCCTCAAATAAAATGGGGTTCTTTGCAGTTCTTTGTAGAGAGTAGCGTTCCAATTCCCTCTTAATAATAGCCACACGTATATTGCGATTGTAACATAGACAGACCTAGCTGGTCAGCATTCACCCTGGAAGAAAAAGAATTTCAGATGATTTCGCAAGGAATCGATCACATGGCTAAGTGACCTTTATATATCAGCACAAAAGGTAGTGCAAGACTAGGAACAAATTCCTTCCCCGACCCCAAAATATGTGTCGGACTCTGAAATCAGTCTGAACTATGTTCAGTAGTGTGCTCCAGCGATACATCTGTGTTAAAGGATCTCTATAGGATTGGGAATGAGTGTAATAAAACAATCTCATGGTTGGTTGCCGTTGAGTTGTTGGGTTTGGAAAAGAGTGGCATTTTCATTTATGCAAGTGAAAGTAACTGGTTTTCAGGGATTTAAATGCACCTGCTATTCTCCAACTCTGTATACGGGCAGCTCACTGAGCAAGTCAGCTTCTGTTCCAATGTTTCAGATTTGTGGAGTCCTGTAGCTCAGTGGTTAGAGCACTCGCTTTGCAAGCGAGAGACCTGAGTTCAATTCCAGGCAGAGGGCGAAACCTTGGGCAAGTTTCCTTACTCCACACAGAGCCTAATAATAATCCCTCCAAAAACCAAAAACAATAATAAAATTGGTCATTTTCAATCTACGACTGTTTGTGGGACATTGCTGTGTGCAATTGGCTGCCGCGTTCGCCCACAAATATACAGTCAATTCACTTTACAGTGTGTTCTGTGAAGCACTTTGTGACGTCCTCCCGATGTGAAAAGCGCTATATCAAATGCAAGGATTATTATTATTATTATTGGGCTCACGTTCACAGCCAGGCACACAGTGGGAACACACCACTATGCTCATGTTAATGTGCTTCTCTTGTTGACCTTGCTCTTTTTCTAGGTGCCCCTTGGCATTTCGCATACACTGTAAAGTTCTACCCTCCAGACCCAACCCAGTTGTCGGAGGATATCACAAGGTAAGCAGAAATTAACAGTGGTGCATTTAGTGGGCTGTTAAAAGCTGAGTACGTACCTATCAGTCTTCGGTGTCAGCCTGGCTCTGTTGGTAGCTCTCTTGCCTCTGGGTCAGAGGTTGAGGGTTCAAGTCCCAAATCGGGGACTTTGAGCTCACAGTCCAGGCTAACGATCCAGTGCAGTACAGTTCAGTATTATTATTGTTGTGCATGCACTGCATTGTTGGAGGTGCCTTTCTTTGGATGAGATGTTAAACCGGGGTACTGTATGTGCTTGATTAAGTGGATATTAAAGAAACCATGGCAGTACTCAGAAAGACAAATGTTTCTGCCAGCGCTGTGGCCGACAAATCCTTCAGTTAAATTGGTTATTCACCACTTGGATGTTTGTACAATATTGCCGCGTTTGCCTACAAATACTCAGTGACTTAACTATAAAAGTTGTTGTGAAACACTTGACGTATTAAGGCATATAATCAAATGGAAGGTTTATTGCTGTGTGAAACAACTGCAAATTGAATATTTTGTGCCTTGTACAGTCCTGGTTTTGATGTGCTTTTCGTCAAATAATTTCTGAAATTTTTTTTGTGGGGAAGGATCTCTTTGGTTTTGATTGAGTGACTGTGTAAACTGCTTGGAAAGTGCATGACAGTAGTCAGTGCATAACTATATAAAGGCGTTGACAGATGCAGCAACCAATTGGCAGTGCTTCTTTCTACAGCTTTGTCAGTGTGACAAGGACAGGGCACTCTTGTCATGAGACAAGGTTGTCCCTCGAACTTTACTACTTTGGCAACAGAGCGCTCCTGTGTTGTCTTTCGGAACAAAAGATTCTCTGTTGTGTTTTTTTGTCATCAAATACAGAGTTGGCAAGATTCAGATCCTACATTTTCGTTCCGCCCATTCAAACAGCTTCTCGCGTGGAGTATAAACACTGGCATTGACTGTTTGGGCCGAGTGACCTGTTTCTGTGCTGTACATTCTTCGCGCATCTTTGTAAGCAGTGGAGACAGTTTGCTTCAACTCGGGTTACTGAACAATTGCGGCTAGTCTTAGTTTTTTAGCCTAACTGAGTAAAAGACTCCTGACAATAAGTTCCCATATGACAGACCGGTCAAACTCGTTCAAGTGGGTGGAAACAGACACACGGATGATTTAGAATTTTGGAAATGCACAGTTTCCTTTACTGCCCGTCCTTATAGCAAACGGATAGGGCTCCAAGAGAAGCTTTATAATTCTAATATAGTAATATGTAGTATACGTTATACATGCGTGGTGCACGGATGACATCAGAACCTTACGATTCATAATAGTTAACCTCTGGAGTTTGTTTGTTTATTTAAAGCTAATGAAAGAAGCAGATGGAACCACAGAATCACACTGTGAATGTGTTCACAAACTGAACACTCGTAAATCGAGCCCATAGGCAGGAGGGCTGGGCTTGGTGTCAATAGTCTGGTTAATGTGACATTTAGGTGTGGCTAGCACTCGCGTTATCTCTGAGTGAGAAGGTTGGAGCACCGCGCTGGTCCTCTGATGAGGTGTTAAACCAAAGTCCTCACTGTTCCTGTTCCGGGTGGACGTTAAAGATCCCGCTTTGAAAGCTCGTGATGTGTTTGTTATTATCGATTCATAGTCTGTGGGCTGAAGGCTGACTTCTTAGCTCACTCGTACCCCTAGCCCTGTTCTGAGATCAAACTCCTCATTAGCACTTGACTCTGCAAATAGCAACGTGGTCATGAACCTTGTAAACTGCCCAACTTTGACGCTCTGAGAATCTTGATCTTTTGCTTGAAAGCCAAATGCTGAAGCTCTCCACCCGTACAGACTTGTTAGAAGCACTTTAATTTTGGCTCTGCACCAATCTGCGGGACCATTTTACAAGCTTAACAAGGAAATATCTTATGAAGTGACACTGTTTCGATGCGCCCAGCTTCCAATTGGATTCCTAACACAGGACCCCAAATGGGGACTTCTTCTTACTCGAATGCAAGTGTCTCACTCTGACCGGAGGGAACATCGCATCAAGAGTAGATGGTGCGAGATTTGGCAACTTGACAAGGACATCATGCTCAACACAGACCAATAATCTTCCTTTTTAACATATAGCGTCCTGTGAGGTCAAAATGTCTCACCAACACACTTCGCGGTAATTGCCGTCAACAGCAGAACAAGGAAGGAGAAGCGGCCTGCAATTCCAGCTAGTCTTAGCCTGCCAGACCTTTCTTTTTAGCTTAGAGTTTAAGATCTCCCAGAATTGTGGAAAATTCATATATTCAGCCTTTTTGGGGGGGTCAGTCGTGTGTCTGACACATGCGGAAATCCATCACTGTGCTTAAGAGCATCTAAACCAAACTGAGAATCCCATCCATCTCATCTGCATATGGAAATCCCAGAGATAGATTGTTGGAATGGAATGCGCTCTCTCTCTCTCTCTCTCTCTCTCTGGAGGGAAGCATCCTTCTTGACTAATTCTGGAAAGTATTAGGCGCAGGTTGGCAAGAGCCAAGGCTTGGGGACCCCAGAGTATGCGTTGGGGTAACTGCTAGAGGCTAACCGGCTAAAACCTCATATAAATTCAGCCTGAATTTTGGAAACCAGTCCTCGGAAGGCCAGCTTCTGAATTGAATGATAGTGTTTTACAGTATTCTGTATAATTGATGGTGGGTGTTGAAGGCACTGTGGACCTGCAGGTTAAGACAAGGTGGTGCCTCGGGCCTCTGGTGTACATTGTAAAAATAATAATAATAATAATAAATTGGTCACTTCACTCCACGACTCTTTGTGGGACACTGCTGTGCACAATTGGCTGACGCGTTTCACCACAAAACGTACAGTTAAATTCACTTTACAGTATATTCTGTGAAGCGCTTTGAGACATCTCGAAGACGTGAATATCAAATGCAAGGATTATTATTATTATTGCACCAGCAGCTGCCTTATTGTCCTATGTCCCACTTTAGGTATTACCTGTGTCTACAGTTGAGAGATGACATTATCAGTGGACGATTGCCGTGCTCTTTCGTTACACACGCTCTCCTGGGCTCGTACACCGTGCAGGCAGAGTTGGGGGATTACGACCCAGACGAACACAGCCCCGATTACATCAGTGAGATCCGATTTGCACCGAATCAGACAAAAGAACTCGAAGAAAGGGTGGTGGAGCTGCATAAAACCTACAGGCAAGTCACGTCCCACCTGGTTTGAATGTGATCTGACCTGTACATAACTTTAGATTCATCTCTCTCTCTCCCCTGTTCCTCTTCACAGGAGTCCTGTAGCTTAGCGGTTAGAGCACTTGCCTCGCAAGTGACCTGGGTTCGATTCCCGGCAGGGTGAAACCTTGGGCAATCCAGGACTGTTTGTGGGACGCTGCTTTGCGCAATTGGCTGTCGCGTTTCGCCCAAAAAATAATACAGTCAATTCACTTTACAGTGTATTCTGTGAAGCGCTTTGAGACGCCTCGAAGACGTGACAAGCGCTATATCAAATGCTAGGATTGTATTCACTGAGAGACCAGCACACAGTTATTGATAAGCATCGATTCAATACCCATCGCTCTCTACCCCACTCCTCTGCTCGACTAACCCAGGTTCACTGTGCAACAGCCTCCCCCTCCACTCCCCGCCTGCCATCGATGTCCGAGCTTTCAGATTTTACACCCTTAACCACTTTAACTCCCCGTCTCACCCCGCTGTCTCTATCTGTCTTCAAACCCTGCCTTAAAAACTACTTCATCGACCACACCTATCATCACCTCCCCATTTCCCCCCCACTCCTCTGCTTGTCCTTTTTACAGTGAATCGCTCTGAGCTGTTATTCTAAGCGAATAGTGTTCCATAAATGCAGGTTGTTGTTGTCGGAGCTGCTGCTGTTGTTGATGACATCCTCTTGACGTGAAGTGGTTCTGCAGAGGCCTAATACGCTCCAAATGACTTCCATCCTTAATAGAATGAAATGCACCAGTGAGCTGCAGAATGGAGGGGAATCAATTGACTGATGCGAAGAAACAAAGAATTGTCTCGTTCTTGATTCACTCCCTGCCAGGATTGGATTTTACCGTGCTCACACCCTTTTTTTGCAGGGTTTGAACGGTCTCCACCGCAGCATTGTTTTGGGAGTGCTTTTACTCCATTCCTCAAGCGATTAACGCAGAGAAATTCTGACCGATTCGAAATCCCTGCTGATCAGAGCACAGTGTCAGTGTACGTTAATTAAATTACACGATACAATGCGAGAGGGGTTAGGGCTTGATTTGCATGCCTGTCGTTCTGTTATGTTACTGTTATAATCCTTCACGTTCATTGTGGGGATTTAATTTGCTTCAATTTATTGTCATGGTTTCAGACCCAGTGAAACAGCTGAGTGGGTTATTGAGTGAGCAGTTGAGCCATTCAGACAATGTCCACACACTGCCTGCTTGCCTGCTGATTCATACAGATGCATGCAACGTACTGCAAAGAGGAAATAAGAATGGGAAATGTATTGAGATGAAGCTCCACTGTGGGAAGCTGAAGGAGATCTAGGGGTGTTATACATATGTCATTTGTTGTTGATTGTTAGTTGACTCATCACACACCGTGTCAAAGAAGTGCGAGGCAGCAATAAGGAAGGCAAACCTGATGCCGCGCTATATTGCTAAATCAGTTTGCGTTTAGGCTTCAGCAGAGGGGAGAACGGTGGTGGAGAAAGCCGGCAAGGGAGGCTGAACCTCGTGAGAAGTCTTGCCGTTTGACGTGTCAGAATTAATTAGCAATGGAAACGAATAGCAGCAAAACAATAAAGGATAACGTCCCCGGGAAGAAACTAGAGAAATGATCAAAACGTTATTGAATGACGCTTTGCACTCACTGTGTTAATTCTTGCTGTTACCTGATGTCTTTTTTTTTCAAAGCCATTGTATGAGAGATAATACGATCCTTACGTCTTATCTCCCTGTGTTATCCTAGGGGAATGACACCAGCGGAATCAGAAATCCACTTTTTGGAAAATGCTAAGAAGCTCTCAATGTACGGTGTGGACCTGCATCACGCAAAGGTACCTGTGGCTTTTAACTTGCTCGCTCTCTTGTCCACTATTGCCCTTAGGAACAGCAAGACTCTTGGTCCCTATCCTCGCCCCGCTCCCCTGGCTCCCCATCCTCCAGCAGGTGGAATTCAAGATCCTCATCCTCGTTTTCAAATGCCTCCATGGACTCGCGCCCTTCCCCAATCCTACTTCTGTGACCTTTTTTTGTGTAGGAGCAGGAGTAGGCCATTCTGCCCTTCGAGCCTGCCCCGCCATTCAATCATGGCTGATCTTCTTATCTAACTCCAGCTAATAACCTAACCCTGCCTTATCCCCATATCCCTTAATCCCTTTTGCAATAAGAAATCTATCTCAGTCTTGAAAACAGCATATTCTGTGAAGCCCTTTGAGAAGTCTCGACGACGTGACAAGGCCCTATATCAAATGAAGGATTATTATTCTCGAGTTCCTCCATCTCATCCTCCCACCTCCCCACCTTCAAAACCCACCTTAACTCCTATCCTTTCAACTGCGCTTTTGACTGCTTTCTTCCCTCTCTTCCCCCCAACCCCCCCACCCCCCGAGCTCCCAGTCAGCTGCGCGAAGCACTTTGAAACATCCTCCCAGCTTGAAAAGCCCCGAACAATTGTAAATGGTTGCATTCGTGGCCAGACAGTGTTCGCACAAGTCATTAACCAGATGTTTTAACTTGAACGCTGAGCTTGGATCTCAAGAGCCATTTCCTCTCCACATTTGCCTGCAACAGGACTCTGAAGGGATTGACATCATGCTCGGCGTTTGTGCAAACGGGCTTCTAATCTACAGGGATCGGCTGAGAATTAACCGATTTGCCTGGCCCAAGATCCTGAAGATTTCCTACAAGAGGAGCAACTTTTACATAAAGATCAGACCTGGGGAGGTAATCAACTTGTTTCTTTATCAATTGCAGGATCTATTGTTTTATCTTAACTTCTCTCCATTTATATTCTGTGAAGCTCTTTGGGAAGTTTCAATGACGTTACCAGGCGCAATGTCAAATGCAAGGATTATTAATATTATTCGGTCTTAATATTTTAAGATCGTGCAGATTTGCTGAAATTTTGACTCTCATTCTGAAACCGGTTTTCCGTAAGCTTCTACCAGGATCTCGCTTATGAATTCACAGGATGAATCGTACGATTTTTTCTGCAATTCTGCACACCCTTGCATTTTAAGATGAAACGGTTTTGCAGGCTAAGACTGCAGGCTAAGGCAGAAGACATGAAACCCTTTTCTCCTCCCTCCCTTGTCTGTCAGACAACGTTTTAGTTAACCTTGAACCTAATGACTATCTCGAAAGCGTATCGTAAGCATTTGTTGAAACTCAGTGCATTCGCACATTGAGGAGGGAAGTGGGTGGTTTGCAAATGCCAGGGACCATCTTACAGAATGGGTGATACAACTGTGTCCTTTTGACATCTTCATTGTATGAGGTTTATGCCTCCTCTCTTCCCCCCCCCACCACCACGCCCTCCACGTAGCCCTTTGACTATATCCTATCACACCACAACACACCTTGCTTTGGAAAGGCGTCTCGATGACATGATGAGGCGCGTTGTGAAATGCAAGGATTATTGCTATTCTGCAGCTGCCTTTGCAGAAGACAAAGCAAAATCTCTTATACTTAGAGCTTAAAAGCAATAAATCTTTAACGTTTAAAAACAAATTAGCCTTGGAATCCAACGCTGAAATCATTTGAAAAAAGTAATGTGATTCTCAACATTCCCAACGGGTAATTAGGTTTTTTTTTAGGCAATCCTGCTTTGCATTTCTAGTGCGAATCAATTTTAAAACAGTTGCATTTAATTCACCCCATAAAAACCAATCTATTAACCATTTTCCAAAGCACTTAGTGACCTCTACTGGTCACAAGCCTGATTGCTTCAACTCCTTGTTAACATTTGGGTTACTTTTCCTATTTATTTGCAGTATTATAGGATTTGGTCCACCACACCAATTAGAGCAATTGTCAGCTTGGCTCAATTGGTGGCACTTTTGCCACTGAGGCAGAAGGTTGCAAGTTCAAGCCCCATGTTGGGTCTTTGAAATCACAATCCAGACTAAAACTCCATTACAATCAACAACAACAACTTTATATTTATACATTTATATAGCATCCTCCACCCAGGGTAGCGGGAGGGATTGAGGGAGAGTGTTCCAGAGTTTCGGGACGTAGTGGCTGAAAGTGGGACCTCTGATGGTGGGACGGAGGGTGTGAGGGACAAGTTGGAGGAAGGTGCCAGTCGAGGGGAAGCGCCGGGTGGTGAATTGGTGAGTGAGGAGGTCGGAGAGGTAGGGAGGTGCCAGAGAGAGAAGGGATATCCTGTGTGTGTCCTGCATTGTTGGAAGCATCATCCTTCAAATCAGATATTGAACCAAAGTCCCTTTTGATTTGGACCCTATTAATCCCATGACACTGTTCAAAAAGAGAAGGGAGTTTCAGATAAACAAAACTGGTCACTCAATTCATGGCTGTTTGTGACGTTGCTGTGTAAAAATTGGCTGTCACTTTTGGCTACCAAGTACAGTGACTGCACTTTAAATCCTGTAAAGTGCTTTGAGACATCTTCCTGACATCAAAGATCCTACATCAAATATGCGAGGATGATTATTATTATTATTGATTTATAATAAAAAATCATCCTTGCATTTGTTCAGATGTCTCAAAGCGCTTCACAGGATTGACGGTGTATTTTGTGGGTGAAACGCGCCAGCCAGTTGCGCACAGCATCAACCCACAAACAGCTATGAGTGAGTGACCAATTTTATTTGGGAGATTGTTGGCCAGGGATCCTAAACCCCCACCTGAACAAACAGATGGGGCCTTGCATTATTGCATATCCAAATTGGGTAAATCCTCTCATGCTTCTGAGTAGAACGCAATATTTTCTCAGCGCTGAGGGCATATCCTGGGCAAATCCTGCTGCTTTGTTTTGACAGCAGGTACCCTCTGCTTGTATGGTTCCTGTAATTAGCACCTTTTGTGTAATATGAGACATAGAGTGCAAATATTTGGAGTTGCACATTGCTGTAATGTGCCCTCGGTTTCCAAATGTTACAACCCTGAATATGCAGATGCACGCTGTACCTTGCTCTGCCCTTGTCGCCCGTCGCTGTCCATTGACTTTAGACTGGAAAACTCCACGGTCACTGCACGTGGCAGAAATTCTTGCTTTAACACGTTCCTGCTTCCCTTTGCTTCCTAGTACGAGCAGTTCGAAAGCACCATCGGTTTCAAGCTTCCAAATCACCGGGCGGCCAAGAGACTTTGGAAAGTCTGCATCGAGCACCACACGTTCTTCAGGTAAGCAGGAAAGTGTGGCTGATGTTACCCAGTCCAGGAGCAGGAACCCTGGCTGGTTTTCCCCTCCCCTAACTCTGAGAAAACCGGGTGGGAGTGGGGGTGAGGCGGGGTAGGTGGGGATTTATCCTCACGTCTAGCCCTCACCAGTTGTGTTTGGTGAAATAAAATACTCTCGTCGCTCCAAGGGAAAAGGGCTCAGTGACGGCTCAGTGGCAAGTTAGGCACATGTATAAATATGGCCGGGATATTGATAGGTGATGACTTAAGTGGTTGTGACAAGTTAAGCCAGGGTCGAATTATCCCGGAGTTTCCTTTACTTTTGGCCTTGTTCTCTGGTGGGCCGTTCAGTTTGTTCTGTGCTAAACCAAAATCCGTTCCTTTCCTTTCAGACTTGTGTCCCCCGAGCCCCCGCCAAAGGGATTCCTCGTGATGGGCTCCAGGTTCCGCTACAGTGGCCGTACACAGGCTCAAACCAGACAAGCCAGCGCGTTAATCGATCGCCCGGCGCCCTATTTTGAACGATCCTCAAGCAAACGATACACCATGTCACGGAGTCTAGATGGAGGTACGGTTTTGATTGCATTGATTTACCTAGAATTTACAGCACTGAAACACGCCATTGGGCCCAACTTGTGTTTATACTCCACACGAGTCTGCACCCAGTCCTTAGTCCCTCCCATACCCTCCTACTCCCTTCTCCCTCATGTGTACTTGTATTCGTTGCATCTTATATCCGTTGCCCGACCTTCAGAGTGGGATCAGTCGAAATCTGACGTGCTCTAACTTTTCCTTCAGCGGCCGATTCCATTGAGGAGTTACGTTGTGAACAGTCACATTTTAGGCCCCTTTGACTTCTGACGAAGTCCTGTCAGGACCCGTTACAGTGTAATGCGGGTGGACCACAGATCCGCAAGTACGGAACAGTTCCAGACTTCCGGGTTAACAGGGCACCGTTCTGCACTCCGGCTCAGTAAGGTTTACTCACATCAGTGGCAACCTGATGATCCGGAAGTGCTGATAGTTACAGTGAGAAATTTGGTGTAGAACTATGAGTCTTTGCAATCCTCTGCTATTAACAAAGTCAACCAATTGCTAGCTTGCTACTCGAGAGCAATGTTTATAACTGGGCCCCACTGTAATACCAAGGTCTGATTTTTATGAATTCTAAACCAGCATGCGTTAAACGAATCAGTCCAACTGTAACATCAACAGCTCAGATTGCGCAGGACCCACGGGTGAATCCTTAATGCATTTTGCTCATGTCTGGGAAGTGCTTTAACATCTCCTTTAACTTTTATCAGATGCCGAAAGTGCCATTATCACAGCAAAGTTCCCAGAGCCATGCCACATCGTTCCCGTCCTGTGACCGCATTGAATGAAATGCACAATGCTTGTTAGCAAAAGGAGCAAAACGGTGGTAGGGGGGTAGAAGATAAAGGTTTTGCCTGAAGTGTTGCACTACATTATGTAGACTGTGTAGATCAGCTGCTTATTGCAATGGGTTACATTAGAGGGTGTTTGTAGAAACAAGAAGGTTTGTGTGTAAATCCCTTGGGATTATGAACAGTGGAGGCTTTATTGTTCCCTGCTGGAAACGTATACTTCCAACATCTGAAAGGACTAATGTTACCATGTTTCCTTCAATCGACGGCAGTGCTGCCAAGGAACTTATGTAACAGATGTATTCTTAATACATAACTCACGACAATGGTATTCAACTTGGATATGTGCTGGCCTCGCAGTAGTTTCTTTATGAACAATTACAGTGAGAAAATTATTGTAGCACTATGAGACTTTGCAATGCTCTGCTATTAACAAAGTCAATGAAGGACATTTTGAAGGAAGCTGCAGATCAATTGTTGCTCACTGTTTTGGTCATTCTGCATTCAAAACTGTGTTGACATATTGGAAAGGAGAAGGGGCCTGGGGTTGATTGGAAACCTTCAATCTATTTTTACGATCCTCGTCTTCACCGTTTAAATGCCTCCACGGCTGTGCACCATCCTGTCTCTGCCACTCGATTGCCTCGGCCATTTTGTCTGCTTCATGCCCCTAACTGCCACCCGCTTCACCCCACTCCATCAGCGGCCGAGCTTAAGAAATTTCCACAGTTTAGCTCAGTGTTAGTGGTGAATACAGAATGGTCTTGCAGGCTAAGAACAAGTGTTTCTCAGTGTGTTCAAAGTACTTCAGTAAAACACGCGTAAGTCTGATGTGTATAAATCGTATAATAGCCCAAGTCCTGTTCAAAAGTTTATATTCTATCCAAATTTAACATAACTCATAATTTGCGTGAGTCTTATTAAATATATGGTCCCAACTGATACGGCTAATGTACACTGGCCTGTTCCAGGTCCCCCCGCACTTCCCGCCCCACCATTGGTGGTTGGGCATTCATCATCTCTGCCCACAGACTCTGGAACCTCCAACCTGCAATCCCTCTGCCTCATCCTCTCTCTTGCCTCTTTCAAGTCCTGTCTAAAGACCTTCCTCTTCGACTGTGCCTTCGGCCACCCTCCCACACCCACCCCTGCCCTCCCCTCCCTCCTGACCCCGACTCCCTGGCTCGTGTCCCAAACCCCTGATTGTCCAACACCCGGGGGCATTTTTCCGACACGGAGGGCGCTGTAGAAGTGTAACTTCTTGTTGTTGTTGTTATGTGAGGTTTTCTCCGGTGGCATTGAAATCCTCTTCCCGCTGCTCAGTGTAGGGGGGGTGGAGCCGCAGTGAACACATTTTATGTCGGATATTCTGACTTGCAGAGTTTTTCCGTCCAGCTTCGGCCGGGGAGAACCACGACGGGCTGCTGAAGGATTCGGAGAAAGACACCAGCGAGGCATCCCGGACCGACACTCCGGTTACACCGCAGTCGGAGAGCAAGAAATCTTCCCAGAAGTCGGACAAAGGAGATGAAGTAACCACTCCGACCAAAATTAAAGAGCTGAAGGTATCAGCAGGTTGACGTCTCTACCTCTTGATGTGATGGTGTAAAGAGCGATGAGTCAGATGTCAGTCTGAGAAGGCTCCTATCTCTGTAGATTGTATTTTCTCTCTCTGCTTCTTCACATTGACCATCAAAATTTCAGTCGAACCTCACTATATCGAACCCTCCTCATAACAAACCCCCCCCCCCCAGTTTAAAGCGTCCCGGCGGCAAGATCCAATTTTTGCATCCCTTTGAGCAAACCCTGATACAGTGAACAACCCGACACAACAATCTTTCCTGCTGGTCCTGAGGGAGTTCATTACAGTGAGATTCAACTGTACCTATTTAACGTCACGATGGGGTTCGTATAATTAATAGACCCCTTGGTGCACAGGTGGGTAACACCTTGTACAGACAGGTCAAGAAAGATTGTGTCCACTTCAACCCCTCCTTCTTTCCCCCCACCCCGACCACCTGCCCTTCGCACTCCACATATTTGAGGTTTTGTGGCAGTTACGAAGGAGAATCACTGTTTGAAATTACTGATGCCAAGGAAGGCAAAAAGATGGTCACATAAAGTCAATCATCCATTGCATTTGGCCACATATTGCGATTCACTGATGCAGTCTGTCTCTTACAGTAAAATGGAAGAGGTTGCACCCACAGGAGAACCATTGCACTCAACTATTGACCTCTTCTTCAGGGTGACTTGCTGCCAGACTTGGTTTAATCCCGTGCCTGAGACTTTTTGATGTTAAATGTAGGAATGGTACCTGTATTATGAAGGTACAGCAGCGAGCTGAGCAGATGGACAGAGACTGTCGTTTAGATTGGCGAACAGTCCCTGAAATTTTTTGCCTATCTAAACAATAGCGTCCTCGCCAGTCCTCGCCAGGCTCCACTGGCTCCCGATTACGTAACAGATCGATTTCAAGATCCTCTCGCTCGTTTTCAAATCCTTTCATGTCCTCGCACCTCCCTCCCTCCCTGCCTATCCAGTCTGCTTACCACCTACTCCATTACCCTTGGCCTCCGCTCGGCTGGCTCCTGCCTCCTGTTTGTCCCTCGTTCCCTCCGGTCCACCAGACCCTTCAGCCACTACAGCCCCGAAACTCTGGAACTCTTTCCCTCAATCGCTCCGCTTTGCCCCCTCCCGACTTTCAAATCCCACCTAAAGACCTTCCTTTTTGATCGTGCTTACGGTCACCTCCCCCCCTCCCTCTCCCCCTGGCTCGGTGTCAGACTCCGCCACTGTCAAGCATCCGACGCTACTCCACATGAAGGCCGTTATATAAATGCAAATTGTCGTGGTTGAAATGCCATAAACTGGTGAGGAAGAGGACAACTAAATATTTCTTGGAAAGCAAGTTGACGAGTGTAGAGCACCCAAAGAGGAAGGACGGAATCAGCTGGCAGATCAATACCTTCAAACTCAGCTGAAACTGAGCTTGGCGTTAATACCCCTGATTCCGTGCAGGCTTACAGATCCGATTGCTCAGGAAGGACTCGTAAACCTCATTCTCTGAATTAAATTGAAAGAATTGAGCTTCAGAAAAATCAGGAGCAGTAATGCATTCCAAGCCAAAACACGTTAGCCTCAAAGACAAATCGTGAACACTGCTTTGTGATCATTCTCATTGATCGTAAATTGCCAGTGCAATATCTAGCAGAAGCCTGACTCTATTTCGCCATTAATTCATATCTGTAGAACTTGATTTCTTCTGAACACTTCACACTTCAGTTCTGTCGCGCTTGTTTCATTGCTTTCACACAAGCGTCGATAAACTGTGACTGTTACTGTCTTGGATTTAATTGACTTCCACTTTTCTTAAAATTCTGCTGTCAGATGGAAAATGAAGATGAACCGAAAGTTAGGCACGAGGTAGTGTACAGACCGGCGTGAGCTGTTTTTTATGTTTAACGTAATTCTGTAACTTTTTTCGTATCTGTTTATGAAGGTATTATTCTAGCTAGAAGATAGACAATGAAACGGTAGGTCTGATTCTAAGTGTAGATGAGCACAGGTCACTGAACAGAAATAGGTCCATTCGAGAGGTTCCAACTCATATCCTCAACTAATGCAATAACAGTTTAAAATCTCTTGCGCGACTTAAGGTTCCTGCAGCTCCCTTCTTAGGTTAAATCGTAATTTGAAACTGAAGTATTAGTGTTGTTCAAGAAAAATGTTAATTGAAGAGTGGGATGCAGGAGCGTGGGTGATAATGTTCTGCATCATGTTATTCCACCATTGAACATTTTATTATTAATAAATATTTAATATTGAATCATTTGAATATTAATTAAGATTTTCCACACACACACACACACATTATTCCCTCATGTTGTAAATGGGGGTGATTTCACAGCATTTGAGGTTGCAGCGTTGCAGATTTGCTTTCTGCCTTTGAAATATAAAGAGAGTATAACCATTTTTGAAGAGCTGCTCGAAAATCCTGGCTCGGTTGGCAGAGCTCTCGCCTCTGATCAGAAGGTTGCGGGTTCAAGCCCCATGTCAGAACTTGGAACTCGCATGGTCTCTGCTGACAATCCCACACAGTGTTGGGGGGGGGAACGCCATCCAATCGGTTGGAAGTGCCGTCCTTCAGATGAGACGTTAAAAAAACTGAGGCCTGTCCAGGTTGATCTTAACCATCCCATGGCGTATTTGAAAAGAGAAGGGATTTTCCTTGACCTCGCGTCCTGGCTAACATTCCCCCAGATCAGATAGGTCATTCACTTCATGGCTGTTTGTGGCGCATTGATAGGTTGGTTGTATTTGTCTGCAAAATACACAGTCACTACACTTTATAGTAAATCCTGCAAAGCATTTTGAGACATCCTCCCAACGAGAAAGGTTCAGCATCAAATATAAGGATTATTATTAATATTATTGCTAAATAGTTGGGGATGTATGTGGTGCATTGTCACTTCCGACATAACACTAACTGTATATCTTTTTTTTCAATTTTACCAAAGTTCCTGGATAAACCTGAGGACGTACTGATGAAGCACCAGGCCAATATAAATGAACTTAAACGGACTTTGCAAGAATCCACGAGTATTAAGTTAGGCCACGGCGACAGGGAAAAGAAGCTCACCACATCTCCAACTTCATCCACGGCGAAAACTAAACCCAAAGATCAAGGGGAGAACGAGAAGGCCAAAGAGGTGAGTTTTGTTCACGAACACATCTTAGAAGTTGCAGGAACTGTCGGGCTGACTTCCTGGACATCCTTTATGGTGATCCGTTTGATTGCCAGTTTGTTGGTGCTGATTATATTTCTAGTTTTAGCGTTGATCTGACCAAGGGTGTCGGTCAGTGACGGGTCATAACTGGATTGTCCCCCTACTAATCCTGTGCATCGTGAGCAAAGTGCAAGTGTTTTTGACAGGTGATTTTTGTGCACAATAAAAGTAAGTTTGCACTGTCGCCACTACTTCCGTAGCGTAGTGGTTAGCGCGCTCGCCTTGCAAGCGAGAGGATCCGGGTTCGAATTCTGGGCAGGGCTCTGTTCACCGAGCAATAAGAAGGAACCTGGTTGTTAGTCGATTGGCGGATTACTTTTCCTGGGTAATAATCCTTTCAAAAAAAAAATCTGGTCACTCAATCCAAGACTGTTAGTGGGACACCGCTATGGCAATTGGCTGCCACGTTTCACCCACAAAATACACAGTCACTGCACTTTACAATTTGTTCACTCAGCAGGCTCAACTATGCGTAATTGCCGAAGCACTTCCAGGTATATTTGTCGGTGTCAAAAACCTTGCTTATGCTTCGCTCGGTGTTCTGTGGCGTCTGCTCTTCTAGGTAAAGAACAGTGGACTGACTGCACCCATTGTGTTAAAGCTCTCAAATCTCACGTGCAAGATTAATCGCAGTAAACACAGCACTTTCTGTCTGTCCCTTGCACGACAGTAATATCATTTGCAAGTTATTTCCTTCCGTGACCGGCATCTTAATGCCATGCCAGACTGCTTCAGCAGTAACTAACTGCAGCACACATCTCCGACCGGCCCATGATGTCCAAGCTGGGGGTTTGAATGCCCTGGTGCCACCTGCTGTTAATCCAAGCTCATTGTAGCTTTTAGTGCAGAGTTATGTTTCTATGCTTCCAAATTCCACACTGCAGTGCGTCATTCATTATACTCCCAAGTTCAGACAATCCGATGGTGGAAATCAGTCAGAACACATCACTAAGAGGTGTTCCATTGTACACCCGATAATTCCACCTTCTTACGCCCCTGCGCAATGGTCGGTATGATGTGCCTTCCTTTCCTCTTTATCCAACCACCGGAATCGGGATCGTTTCTGTTGCTCAAACGGGAGATTGCTTTTGTTCTCCTAGTCACATTCGGGCCTGATAAGCCCGTGGGATTTTGGATCGTGAGCTCCCCGCAGGGGGTTGATCTCGCCCCTAATCTCCGTGCGCATGTTTCGTGTTGTATTAATTTATACCAGTGTCAATTGCCACATCGCTGGAAAATGCAGCCAGTTGGCAACAGGGAGACGGTGACAGGTTTTTACGGGTGCGACAACCCCCGTTTCCCTGAAACAGAGTGATCGGGCCCGAAGCTGAGCTGTGCGTTTTGGACGTGGGTTGTATCACTGGCCTGTTGATTCGGGGATTACTGACTTCGCTCCCATTTGTTTTTATTTTGTTGTTGTTTAAGATGGTATCCAACTAACTGGCTTTCTGATGCTGCAAACCACGAGGCAGCTTCGGGTCTAACCATTGTGACGAAGTTGGGGCAGTGGGGGGAAGAGAGGGAGGGTGAATCGTAAATATCTGTGGTCTCTATAATGTCTAAATATTGACCAGCCCGGTCGGCTATATTTTCTCGATTAACTAACCTCAGTTGGTGTTAACTATCACATTACACTTTGCAGTTATCGCCCCATGATTTCTAGCATGGGGTTGGGTTGCCTAGATTTTATTTCACTCTTGACATATTTATTGTATGCTGTAATCTTCCTGTGTCTTCTTCAGGGTATTTTCCATAAAGCACAACCTGCTGTATGAATGTATACTCTGCATGTGTGTGTGTGTGTGTGTGTATATATGATATATATATAATATAACTAGTGAAACAAATAAATCAGCAATATTAATGGCTAAAGCACAACAAGGGGTCGGAAGTGGGGGGGAACACTAACTTTATGTCAGTGTGTTTGTTCCAAAAGTACCCCTTCTTCCAATAGAACCTTTCCTCCACGAGAGTAGCTCAATTGTTTGTGGGTTGGATTCCCAGTGGATCCACTCAGCACCCCCCACCCTCTTTGATAAAATTGAGTTCCAAGACTTAACATAAGTTCCTTGCAGGCTGTGAAAATGTATTAGATTGGCAAATGATTGGTAAAAGATCGGTAAACAAAGCCCTGCATTTTTGGTCAGCCAAGTGTCTTGACACATATGGAAATCCCATCACCATGTTTCAGAGTATCCAAACTAGACTGGGAGCTCCATGTCTGCTACCTAAGCATGGACATTCCTGTGTCTGGGAGGCTATATGCTCGCTCTCTCCCTGGAAGGACACACCCTGCTTGTATAAATCCAGAGAGTATTAAGCACAATACAATCACAGTGAGATCCAAGGCTTGGGGACCTGGGGTTAACTGCTGGTGCTGGAGTTTAACCAGCTGAAAAAAAACATTTAGCTTGCCATTGAAAGCACAAGTTTCGCACTCTATATTAATATAAAGTGGAGATGGACTAAAGTAGATGCGTTTTTTTTTAAATGTTCTCTTTAAAAAGATCTTGATTATTGCATTTTTGGGGGCATTTTTAATTTCAGCACAACCTCAGATGCACATTTTATCCGCACGTTTGTTTCCTGGTTGCCCTTTAAAATATATCCACCGTAGCAATTATACATCAGTGTAAAGAGTTCAAGATAGTAAGCTAACTGCATGCATGGCTCTGTGTGCCTGCCTTGGAATAATGGCAATGAAACATAGGCAGACCATGTGTAGAGCAGTCTTGACCTAGCAATTGGAGCCTTGCAGTCTTGTGATCCTGGCTGGAATCATTGTGCAAATGGAAGTTAGTCTTGATCTTTGGGAAAGGGAGCGTTAACAATGATGGAGTTGGAATTTTCAGACAAATCATAGCAAGTGTTAGTTTCATTTCTTTAGTTGGAACAGGATTTATTTCCGAGATAAAGGCCAGAGACATAGACCAGATTAAACGTACACTTTTGCACTGACTTTACACTAACAGTCCGTTTTTTGCTGCTGCACATCGTTCCTCTCATGATGTACTTCCACAGCCCGAGGCTAATGCAGATAAATTTAGATCAATGCTGCTCGCTGAATAAAACAAAGCGGTGCTCAGTCAAATACAAAAGCAACACGTTCAAGCAAAAGACAGAAGGACTGAGTTTCCAAAACTCTGGAGTATACAGTACTTGGCATTGTGTAAACAGCCAGCATTAATAAAGAGGTTGGTGTGTTCTTAAGCAATTACGGTGGTGTGTGTAGCGTCAAGCGTACGTGTACTTCAGAGCTTTAGTTTACTTAAACCGACATAGAATCCTCATGGCGGGTGGGGGGAATAAATAATAACGGAATCCACAAGGAAGAAGCTAACACTTCTGTTTTTGTTTGTTGTGTGATAAGTTCTGGTATGTCAGCTAATTAACCTTTCTAACAGCCTGCGGGCGCTGAAGAGGAAATGAGAGAAGAGCCGGCTTCTCATGTGTGCGCTATTGCCTTATCTGTGGAAGATGCTGCACAGAAAAGCCTTGCTTCTTCCCCTGAGGTTGACCTTTATTTCTTCAGTTTATACGCTTGTTAGCCCTGTATTTCAGTCTAAATTAGAATAAAATAAAACTATTGGATGATGTTAAGAGTGGTTTCATGTAAAAGTTGCCGAACAATAATTGATAGCAAACGGCCCTTTTCTTTTTAAACCGTGTGTTGATTTTTTTGGGCGGGTAAAATAATATTTTACAATATACAAAGAGCAATCGCAGAACACATAATGGCCGTAGACAGGCTAGCGCTTCAATCGTAAGTTGGGATAATAAACTAAAGGTTTGATCGAGCGATTTTCTATAGCATTTAACGCAGCGTATTTATTATAACTAACGATCGCTGTGCATGTTGCCGTTCTATAAGCTAATTTTGATATATTCTCGGATGCAGATTTTATCCACACGTTTGTTTCTTGGTTGCCCTTAAAAAATATATTCACTGTTGCAATTACACATCAGTATAAAGAGAGCAAGACACTTGAGGTAACTGCATGCATGCTGCTGTGTCCCTGCTCTTACAATACTGTAACGTTGACAAGTTTCTATATTTGAAATGTAGGGTTCTGAGGAATGGGTTATAATAGAAAGTCAAGCTTCTAGGCTAGAAGAACTAGTTGTAGATCAAGTGAAAAGTGGCAGAAGAGAATCCCTAGAAGACAGAACCCTGGAAGATGACGACAAGCAGATTACATCCGAGCTTTCTTCCGCTGGGTCAGAATTCACCGAAGGATGGATTCCAAGGGATGAGTCACTTGGAGAGAAACCTCCAGCAACTGAGGAATCCTGTGGTTTTCAACCAGCAGGCGACGAAGAAGTAGCTTCTGAAACCGTTGGCTCAGAGGATACGGTCGAGGGCACGGCAACTTTTCCGGTCAACAGTGAACGTGGGACGGTGGTGGCAGCGGCAGAGGAACGAGAAATAACTCCGAGCCCACCGGAACCCGTTGACCCCGAGGAGATAGCGTCCACTGATCGTTTTGATCGAGAGTCAGTGAGCTCGACAAGTAAGCAAACTGTTCACGAGTCCATTACCATTGTATCTTCGTTTGTACATATTTCGGCAAAAGACAGTAAAGAAGAATTAGCTGAACCTCAACACGTTTCAGAGTCAAATTCCTTCAAACCGGATTTCCCAGTACCTGAGCCCTTGCTGGACACCTCAGTGGAGAAACCTAGATTTGCTTCCCCTGTGGAGGATGAAACTAAGTCCAACATACTTTTCCAAGAGGATGGCCAAGGAGGTTCCAGGACAGGTTCCAGAAAGGATGATGGCAAAGAATTTGAACCAGTTTCTCCGATGGCTGATCAGAAGGAAATGACAGACTCTCAGTTAGGTCAGCACGAACTTAAGACGCATTCCCCAATGGATGACCCAGAGAAACAGACAGGAACCGAGACAAGTTCCTCAATGGATGACCCAAAGAAATGCCTGGAAAGCAAGACCGATTTCTCACTGGATGACCAAGAGAAGCACGAAGAAATCAAGACACATTCCCCAATAGATGACCCAGAGAAGCATCTGGAAACCAAGACAAGTTCCTCAATGGATGACCAAGAGAAATGCCTGGAAAGCAAGACCAGTTCCTCACTGGATGACCAAGAAAGCAAGAAGCAATCAAGACACATTCCCCAATAGATGACCCAGAGAAGCATCTGGAAACCAAGACAAGTTCCTCACCGGATGACCAAGAGAAGCACGAAGAAATCAAGACACATTCCCCAAAGAGAGACCAAAATTTTACTCCAATTCACGTTGTGACTTCCGAGCTTAAATCCAAGATGGATGCGGAGAGAGAACTTGAACCAACTTGCCCAGGGGAAGAACATGGGGTAGGAGCTAATACAGCGAGGCACGAGGATTCAACACAAATCTCAGAAGACGAAGGAAAGGTCGAATCCAAATCCGATTCGCCAGTGGTTATGGGTGAACTGCAAAGCGTTAGTGAAAGAGATGAGGACAGAGCAATTTCTCGGTTCGATGATATTGAAGCCTATACCTCTGAATCCTCTTGTGATGGCCGAGAACGGAGAAAGCAACCACCGCTGATATCCTCAGGAGGGGATGGGAAAGACCAATGGCGTTGCTACCCAGGAAGAGCGGGAAAAAAGCAGCGCCCTTACTCCTTAGGCGGTGATGAGAAAGAGCTGCAGACTTTCTACATAGCAGGGGATGGGAGAAAGCAACGTCCTTGCTCCTTGGGAGGTGAAGGGAAAGAGCTGCAACCCTTCTCCCTGGTGAAAGAGTCACAGCCATGCTTCCTGGTGGATGTTGGAAAAGAGATTAAACTGCGTTTTCCAGAGCAGGACAAAGCAGAAAAGTCACCTACCCTGGCCAGCGAAAACGAAGAGCCAAAGCTGTACTCACCAGACAAGGACAGAAAGGAATTCAAGTCGCCGCCTTCAGGACAGAACCGAGGTAAGTCCAGAGCCTCTTCACCAGAGGACCGTAAGAAGTTCGAAGCGGTTTTCCAGGGCAACGATGACAACAGCCATGCTGAATCAATGAGCCGGGAGCCTGAGAGAGAGAGTGGCGCAGACAAATCTAAACCGCTGTTTTGTCAGGACGTGCAGCCCATCTCAGACTTGGCAAAATCCCAGGACTTACCCGAATGCGATGTCTTTGTTTCCAAGAAACGATCTCCTGAAAAAAAGCGAGATCCGTCCGATCAGTTGTTTCTTGCCTGGGGCAAAAGCGATCCCGGATCCCAACCTGTGCTGGAGCGCTGTGAGGAACAAGGACCAGCCCTTAAACCGGGGCTCGATGGGTCCGAGTTGCCACCAGCGGCCGAAGTTGTGTCATCGTCGCGGTCAAAACCATGTTTAGCTGGAGACGAAGGGGCTAAGCCAGTTAGACCTTCCGAACTCGAGTGGCTGGGCATGAAGAAAGGGTCACCTGAGAGACCCTCAAAACCGGAGTCAATGAAACCCAAGAAGGAGGCGTCCGGAGTCAAGCCCAGCACGGAGTCTCCAAGCCTGGCAGAGGAGTCGGGAGCATCGCTCTCCGCAGCCAAGCGCAGAGAGAGACAGTCGGACGCAGGAGCGTACGACATGGGGTCAGCCACGCTCAAGGATAAGATATCCTATTTTGAGTTGAAACTGGGAGAAAACACGTTCCCCAAGAAGCCATTCAAAGCCACCGAGCACTCTGCGCACTTCACTGAGGTGGGATCGCCAGATTCGGGCTGCGAAGTGGAGTTGACCGAAGCAGTGGTAACTCTTCCCACAAGGAAACAGCACATTGTTGTCGCAGCATGTTTTGTCCGAATTGGTTTTGTTTTTTTTTACATCCTCCAAGCTTCACGACAGCTTGAAAGCAAAGTTTGTTTCCAAGTTGCTACTTTGTGCTTTTTTTTTTAACTTTGTGTGTATTTTGCTAAAACATGCAGAGCATTCGTTCGATCCTCGCCGTTGATTTGCATTCCTTTGCGTTTTCTGTTTGGACCTTTTTGGAGTGTTTTGCGACTGCAAAAGGGCAACCGATCGAGTCAAAAGTAGCTTTGGCAGCAATGAGAAACAGGCTGACCAGGCAGCTGTTGAAAGTGTCTCCACGAACCTCTGGGAGTGTCTACGCTTTTCCTGCATTGCTTAGAAAGTTGCATTTTGGTACTCAGAGAAGTGACAGCCTGTGGCTTCTTCCCCCCTCCCCTTCCTTCTCCCCTCTCCTCTCCCCTCCCCTCTCCTCCCCCCATTCCCTTTGTGTTCTTTGGCTTATTTTTTGTCTCTTTCCCCGCCCCCCCCACCCCTTCCCCAACCTTCTCTTTCACTCTTCTCCTTCCTTTCAGCGCAATAATGCCTGTCAACACAATTACTAATGGCTGATACAACTACTAATGGCTGACTTTCCACTGTTTGCTGTGAAGCTCGCTGCCAAAATGTTTGTTGCTATTCCATTTTAAAGTCACGCTTCCTGTCTTCCTTCATTTCAGCTTCTGACTAATGCCTTTGTCTATTTAGACTAAAGCTGCCGCCCACGATTGTGCCTTGGAAGACGGGGAAGTGAAGCCCCCGCAGGAGACTTCAAAATCTCCGAGGAAATCGCCAATGAAGGATGTATTGGGAGCTGCTGCTGCTTCAGTAAATGCCACACAGGTGTTTGTTTAGCTCTTGATAAACTTTTCATCTCTGAATTGAAACGCAATCCACATACCCGTTCCATACCGCTAATATTTTTTCCATTTCGCACTAGAAATAATTTTTTGTTGTTGTTTTGGTTAGCCGGGTGTCTGAGGCATGCAGAAACCCATCACCGTGCTTAGGAGTATCCAAACCAGACTGAGAATCCCTAGAAAGAACGTATGTTGAATCCCTGCGTGCATTACCCTTTTGCCTAAATACAGAATACAAAAACCACAAAATACAATGTCTTTACACTTCACAGTAAATTTCTGCAAAATGCTTTGAAGCATCCTCCTGATATTCATAGAATGTTACGGCACAGAAGGAGGCCATTCGGGCCATCGAGTCTGTGCCGGAATATGAAAGATGTCACATCAAATGCAAGGATATTATTTAATTATGATTAATATTATTAATAGAACATTCTTTCCTATCTATGTTGGAAGCTTCTACCGGACATCAAATTCCCTGTTTTGTTCATTTCATTTGTTCAGGGTAGGAGACGTTCTCTGTTAAATTGCAAGACACTACCGCTTAATTACAAATTCCTTTAGTGCAAATGTGTCGTTCCATCTGCCCGGAAAAGGAAAGAGAAATAGACTGATATTTTTGTGCACTTCTGTTCTTTTGCAGGAGCCTTCATCTCCACGTAAAAAGTGTAGTGAAGAATCGGGAAAATCCCAGGTTGGTTATTTCAAAAAGTTCAGACTTGTTTAGATTTTAGTTTTCTTGCCATTGGAACTAAAATCCCCCGCCCCACCTCCCCCCACCACACCATCTGTACATATACACAGATACAGTAGAATCGATAGTGATTCCACTGGGAACTGCACTGACCCTCTACACGACTCCCAACTATTCCAAAGTGACATCTTTCTTTTGTGTGTTTTTCCGGGAGTCCTGTAGCTCAGTGGTTAGAGCACTCGCCTCGCAAGCGAGAGACCTGGGTTCAATTCCCGGCAGGGCGAAACCTTGGGCAAGTTTCCTTACTCCACACACCTAATAATAATCCCTCAAGAAAAAAAAACCACAATAATAATTTGGTAACTTCAATCTACGTTTGTGGGACCTGCTGTGTGCAATTGGCTGCTGCGTTTCGCCCACAAATATACAGTCAGTTCACTTTACAGTATATTCTGTGAAGCGCTTTGAGACGTCTCGAAGACGTGATAAGGTGCTATATCAAATGCAAGGATTATTATTATTATTTCTTCATCCTACCCATGAGCATCAATCATTCTGAAAAACCGTGAGCATTTGTGACCAACTTTCATCCTTACTTTTACCTTTACCTAATTCAACTATTTTGAACACTCACTCACTCACTCACCCACTCACTCACTCACTCACTCACTCACTCACTCACTCACTCACTCACTCACTCACTCACTCACTCACTCACTCACTCACTCACCCACCCACCCTTCTCAATCCCATTCCACCCCTGATGCGTTGCAATCTTTCTACCTTAATGCTCGCAGTTCTTTCTTGCTCAGAGCACTGAAGCAAAGCAGGACTTAGAGGAGAGGCCTATTGCAGCCAAACAAGAAGCGTTAGAGACGGCGGAACAGACAAAGGAACATGCTCCAGAGAGCCTGACAAAGGAGCTGCACGCACAGGGAGACCACAAGCATACAGGCACCCCCGCAGCCTCCACAGCCCATGCGGAAGCTGAGGAAGACCTCAAAGTACCAGGGAAAGCAGGCGACAGTAAGATAGTGCTGGAGGAGGAGAAGGAGCAGAAGAAGAAACCAATCCAATCTAGCGAGGCTGATAAAGAGGGGCTAGGCAGTGACACAGCTGAAATCATTGACAGTACTCTGCCTTCCACAAGTCCTGAAAGCCAATCTCCTCAAACACAAGGGGAGAACCAACTTAAAAGCATTGACCATATGTCTGAAGATTCTCAAGAAAAACCTCAGTATGAGGTAAAATGTTCCCCCACCCCACCAACCCCTAGTGATTGTCCATGTCACCTGTGTTTTCCACCTTCCCTTTGTGTGTAAAATCATAATCTCTGCACCCCCACCCTCCCCCAAACCAGATTGCAGATCAGACTTACTAATATGTCGTGAATTAGGACAAACTGCCTTCCTGCCAATTATTACTTGATATTCTTCATTAATTACGTCTCAAGAGCATGCTTGCTTTCCTCTAATTGAGTGTACAAAGTGTCTGTCTGTGTTACATTATGTGCCAGATAATGAAGCACCTTCTTAATGTCAATGTATTTTTGTTTCAAGAGCATTTGCTCAGGTACTAATCCATTCCTCACACGTGCTCCATTGAATGCTTTGCTAAAGCTAGCATTTTGCTTTCCGCCAGGAGTGTTTCAGTTAAAGGAGCCACATACAGTACTTTAACGATGTTTACACACAACTTCATGGTAAAATGCGCACCTTTAACATCTACTGCTAAGATCTGTGCACGTGTTTTTTTTTGGTCTGAACATCAAATAACCCAGAGGTTTGAGAATATAAGTCACTTTAATTATTGCATGTAGCTCCTTTAAGAGATTTCTGATGGATTATTTGCCGCCACAAGCATAAACGTGGATTGTCACACTTTGGCTACTTGTCCCTCTGTGTTGTTTAATCCCCGAATGAAGTATTCTCTCTGCCTGTGTTGCCGTGAACAAAATGGAAATCACAGACCCCATATTCCACCGAGCCTTGAAATTCGAATTTGTCCGGAACTCCTGAAAAGTTCTTACAAAGAACTCCAAATTAAGTTTCCCAGGTGAAGCACTCTGAGACGTCCTCCCGACCTGAAAGACGCTACAGAAATATAAATAAAAATAATATAATCCGTGCATTTAATATAGCGCCATATCACATTGTTGAGACGTTTCAAAGCGCTTCACAGAATGTACTGTAAAGTGAATTGACTATTTGACATAAATTGTTTTATTGAATTCAGGAATTTTCCACAATTCTGTGCCACCTTCAATTGTAAAACCAAATGATCTTATGGTCTAAGACTAGGTGGAATTTGGGGCCAGTTATCTCCATGTATAAGGAAGAGTGAATGTGAAAGTTTGGTCACTCTTTCTCTTGCAGCCTGCCAAGAAATCTGAAACTATTCCCGCGAGTGGAGTACAGACTGTGAAGACTGAAGTTTCCTCAAAGGAAACGCCTTTAGTATCAGAGACCAAAACCACTGTGACGACCACACAGGTGCTCAGGTTTTTTTTTTGCTTGCTCTTGGAAAAGGTCACACACACACGCATAAACACTCACACAAACACTCACAGAGTGGCTGATATGGGGATGAGGGAGAAATTCCGCCCCTGGATCGAGTGGAGTCCTGTAGCTCAGTGGTTAGAGCACTCGCTTTGCAAGGGAGAGACCTGAGTTCAATTCCAGGCAGAGGGCGAAACCTTGAGCAAGTTTCCTTACTCCACACAGAGCCTAATAATAATCCCTCCAAAACCAAAAACAATAATAAATTGGTCATTTTCAATCTACGACTGTTTGTGGGACATTGCTGTGCGCAATTGGCTGCCGCGTTCGCCCACAAATATACAGTCAATTCACTTTACAGTGTGTTCTGTGAAGCGCTTTGGGACGTCCTCCCGACGTGAAAAGCGCTACATCAAATGCAAGGATTATTATTATTATTATATTCACATAGCATTTTGGTGGCATCCAGAATTCGGTAATTTCCTCAAGCCTTAATTTTCTTCCACTATGTTTAGGGTTAATGATCATCCTGTCACCCTTAGACACTCCCTCTGCTCTCCCTCCCTCACTACCCGCCCTTTGCTTCGACATCATCCTACCTGCCCCCATCCTGCTATGCGCCCCACCATCAGTAGGTGAGTTTTCAGCTACTTTGCCCTGTTCTCTGGAGCTGTCTCCTTAAATCCCACCTGGATCGCACCCACTCTCTTCAATTTCAATTCCTTAAAAAAAACTATCTCTTTGATTGCGCCTTTGGTCACCTCCACCGGCCACCTCCAAACTTCCAACCCTACTTAGGCTCCCACTCTGTGTCAGTCAGTCAAAGGTCATCGACCTGAAACATTTACGCCTTTTCCTCTCTCCATAGATGGTGCCTGACCTGCTGCATGCGTGTTCCCAGCGACTTCCGTTTTTATTTAAGCGCTTTACGTTGGGTTTCCGACATGAAATGCCCTGGATAAGTGCAAGATGTTGTTAATATAAGTTGGCCGGTTTAAACTGAGGACTGTGTTTGTTTGTGCAGGCCAGCAGTACTCTCGGTTCAGAAGCTGAGGTCGTCTCGAGCTCTCAGACTGTTGTCTCAGAATTTGTGTCCTCACCTTCAGCTGTAAGTTGCTGAACGCCACAAAGGTTTTTTTTTTGCAATAAGAAGGTTAAAACTTTGTTGCCTTGCGCGCCAGGCTCGCTTGTAAGTCGTGCATGTTTTGCATCTCAGGTTGACGGCGAGAGTAAAGCTGGAACTGCGACCGTAACTAACAATCAGTCTGTCACTTCAGAAACCATATCTACGTCAACCACTACGCACATCACCAAGGTGAGACTGGCAACGAGGTAAATTGCGTTGAGAATGCACTTCATTGGGGAGCACCAGATAAAGCGGAACTGATGGTTAGCAAGACCCAAAAGTTTTGAGATAACCTTTTCTGATTATTTATGATTTATGATTTCACGTTGTCGGTTGATCAGCAGTCCAAATTACCGGTAAGCGCGGGAGTAATGGATGGTATAAGGGGAGCGGCGTTTTGAGGTTAGGAGTTGATGATTGGAAATCCTGTACGTTTAGATTTAATTTGCTATTAGCCTTAAACAGCTGTTAACCAGCTGACTTTGTTATGCATTCAGTCAGTAAAAGGAGGCTTCTCGGAAACAAGAATTGAGAAAAGAATCATCATCACAGGAGACGCAGACGTTGACCAGGACCAGGTAGGACGGGTTTCTCAGAGTGGATCTGTTTCAGGAACTTGTTGCATTTGTTCAGCGCCCTTCACATAGGCTAACATCTCGGAGCGAGGACCAAAGACAGGGTCAGATGCCAAGCAAGGGAGGACGGGAGGGCGAGAGTGATCTTAGACATGGTCAATGAGTCAGGTTTTTGGCAGGATTTAAGGGCAGATGGAGAGCAGGCGAGATGCAGGGTACACGGAGGGAGTTAGCAACACGCTTGCTACACACTTATTTCCAGAACGTCAGACACTGAATGCATGTTATAAATTGAAGTTCAGGTGCGGATCAGCCATGATTTAATAGAATGGCGGGACAGGCTCGAGGGGCTCAATGGCCTACTCCTGTTCCTACATATTCCTATGTTATTGATCCCAGGAGCTTCAAACCTTAGACAGTGCATTTACTGTACTGCTGTCTAAAAAAAATCAACATTGCTTTTGTCGTGAGTCATACGAAGGGTATATGGAATTCCTACATTAAAGATTTATTTTGCAGCTCGAAGGAACACACACTTGAATATACATGTACGACTGACAATCCTCTTATATATCAAACAGCAGTACAAATCAAATAACTAAAATCATTGCAATGCCAAGGAATTATGTTTGATTTAGCACCTTCACATCAGGAAGACGTCTCAAAAGGGCTTTGCAGTGTTTACCATGAAGTGTAGTGACTGTGCATTCTGCAGGACAAAGTGGAAGGAATATTATTAACATCTCTTAGGCCTTACTCGTAATCATAGGCTATTGAATCCTTTTATTGGCAATAAAAACATTAATCTGTTCCCGTTACTTGCTGACCAACTGACTAACTAACTAGACGGGTTGCACAGTTGATGGAATGTCTGTCCTAACCTTGCGTCCTGGATGTATTGTCCACTCCAGGCTTTGGCTCTGGCGATCAAGGAAGTAAAGCAGGAGCACCCAGACATGCTCGTGACAAAGGCCGTGGTTTATAAAGAATCAGAGCCCACTCCAGAGCAAAAGGAAAGCGAATCCAAGGAAAACGGGTCCAAGGTGAAGTGCAGCACATGCCCTCATTATATAAACGTTGCTTGTTCTCTGCTGGCCTCTTGGTTGTGCTTTCTGGGCCAAATGGGCTTTTTCTGGGCCATATCACTCTACGTGACACCCTTCTGTCTCATCCCTCTATCCAGCCTCACAAGCTGTTCACTTCTTCCTACCTTGGGACCAGAACGGGGAGGCCTGGTTACAGTTCTGATTCATGCTCCACCCATCACCATGGCAAAGCATTGCCAAAATGTGTCATATCTATAGCCTCTCAAGTGAGCTAGTTGTATCCCAGCTTATTGGTACGATTTGGTTTGGACATACAATACTTTATTTCCTTGGATAATGCACTATAAAAGCACATTGGTGGACTGCCCGCAGTGGGAGGTTGGTAACATTGACACCTAGTGTTTCACTAACCAATATAAATCCTTTTGTCCATAAGGCTCCCAGCCGGTTCTGTTATGGGAACACTTTAATTGGCTCATGCCCTTACACAAGAAGCATTTTTTTATGGTCAGCCGAGTGTCTGAACCCATCACCATGCTGACACGTATCCAAACCAGAGAGAGAGTTAGTTCTACAGGCGTGTGTGCCAGCCCCACGCGCAAATTTCCCCGGTGTCTCGCTAATTTGTGCACAGCAACGTCCCGCAAACAAGCGTGCAGTGAATGACCATTTGCTTCCATGGAACCGTTGCTGACATGAGGAACTGCAGCAGTTGGGAGTGTTTTTTTGGTGCAGTGTAAACCAATTTGTTAAACTGTAAACCTTTGCCCCCTCTCTTTTTCAGGCATAAGAGCTTGAAAAGCCTTGGAGACCCAGCTCCTTAATACCCCCATGAACAAAAAGGAGGATCATATTGCTGCTTTCGTCACCACAGACTTCCCTCTGCCTCGATGCTTTGCAAAGACGAACCAGGAAAAAGAATATCAATATTAATGTAAAGAAAAAAATCCCACAATATATATTATATATATATATAACTCCTGCAGTGCAAAAAGCATTTCCGTTGCAAGCACCACAAAGCAAAGTAATCGTTCACATTTACAGGGAGAGACGCATGTTGAGAGAGCGAGGGAGAAACAAAATCCCAAATAGAACCTCTAAACGTCATTTACTATGTACATGAGCTTCGCTGGCGAGAGAAATACTGTTTATGGAGACGGAAGAAAGTCCAGCAAATAGTGTTTGATAACACGTGCTTACGCAATGGATGTCAATTTAGTTGCATTTTGGTTTACTCCTTTTTGACCGGCTAAAGCAGGTCCCTGGCAATTATTAGAAATTATCCTAAAGGCTTTGAAATGGTTGGCACATATTGGTTCACAGTTTGGACGTGTGTTAATTTATAATTGAAGTATGCTTATCTGGTATTATAAAGATTGGATGTGTATCTTCCCTGATGTTTTTACTATCCAAAAGGTAGCCCAGTGCTGGTTGCAATCTGCCACTTGGGCTGAGAGCAGTTTGTGTTGTTTTGTAAAATAAATAAACCTTAATTATTTGAAAGTGAATAATTTGGGGGAAAAACAATGTTTCACAGGTGTCTTAATCGAGGAAGTAGTTAGGTAGATGTTTGTCAGGGCACCGCTCGGTGTTCCAGGTGATGTATCTTCAGAAAGCGATCAAAATAATGGGGTTCAGTAAAAAAAAAACTTAGCAATGGTTCACAATTTTTGATGTAAATGCCTTTTTCCTCACTGTTCCAATGCACAGCGTCACAAAAGTATTGTTACCTTTATAACTTCTCCTGACTTTTTTTCTCAAAGAAAAGTGTTGCAATGCTCAAAATAAAATCCTCAACCACAGGCTACTCGAGCAGGTTATTCCATTTAGTGAGCATGACATGGGGGGGGGGGGAAGCACACCCCAATATCAAAACTTGAGCAAGTTTAATCACCATCTATGTACTCACTTGTGAAGTCAAACACCATGCACATGCTTCCATTGAAATACCAAGGCAGGAGGTTATTTGCAACACTTGGCATTATCAAATGGGGTGTACCTGTCTTGTTTACCATTGCTAAATACTGTATATTTTTGATAGGATCGATTTTGGGACTTAACCCAAGAATTTCAAATTGAACAGGGAAGTTAAAAAAGGATTTAAGAATCTTTACAACTGTAACAAAGGCCGACAAAAACCTTGTGTGTGTGTGTGCATGAGTGCATTGACGCACCTTAATGCAGATATATAAGACGTTTCATCATTGCAGTTTTTATTTTCCTACAGTTCTGTGATATGTGTTCGTTGTATCCTCATCCCTTCATAGCGAAATAAATGTGTCAGAAGCATCTTCTGTGCTCATTCCTTTGTTGTACTTTCGAAAGAATGCGGAGCGCAAAAGGAACCCGCGAGCAGAGGATTGAAGCTTTGTTGCACATCCTTACGGTGGGTGAGTGCTTCAGAAGAGCTTCGGTGCTCAGAGGATCCACATGACGATACGTTCACTATTTTCTGACGCACTTTGTTCCAGCACTCAATAAAATAGCAGAACCGTAACTTAGCTGTTTTCACCGTTTGTTCCCCAATTTTGTGAAGAATCCTCTCGATGAAAAGGGTTGACCACCATCTGGTTTCAGCACGGAAGAAAACGTGGCAAACTTGTTTGGAAGGTATTTGTAAGAAAAAGTGGTGACTTGAGTTATGAGATTTTATGTTTCACTGGATTTATCATGTCAGCACTTTGGGTCAAATCGCCAATTTGGCTGGGACATCACGCTGGTGATTTTATTTTATCATTGTATCGATTTTATCTGAAAAAACAGTGCTTTTTAATACATCCCCTAGTTACGTGAAGCTCTTTTGAACATTTCTTGGACATTTTTGAAATTCCCACGGGGAGTTGCACATTGCCGGCAGTTACCATCCAAACAATGATGTACTTTCAGAACTTGTTATGAAGCTACTTCATGCTTCTATCTGTGTGAATTTACACTGTGTTGCATGAATAGAACTGTTATTCTAACAGTTACAGAACTGTGACAAGGCTCTGTGACCCTATCAGCCCCATTCTCGCCCGACTCCACAGGTTTCCCATCACACAGAGATGGGAGTTCAAGATCCTGGTCCTCACCTTCAAAGCCCTCCGTGGCCTTGCTCCCCCCCCCCCCCCCCATCTCTGCAACCTCCTACCATCCTGCCCGCTCCCTCCGCTCAGCACGCTCCGGCCACTTCACGTCCCCCTCCTCGCCTGCCCGCCCCACCATTGACGGGTGGGCCTTCAGCCACTCTGCCCCCACCCCCGGAACTCCATCCCACAGTCCCTCCGCCTCGCCCCCTCCCTTGCCACCTTTAAGACCCATCTCAAGACCCTCCTCTTCAACCGTGCCTTTGATCACCCACTTCCCCCCCTGCCCTCCACCCTCCCCGATCCCCAGCTCGGGTCCGAAACACTGACTGTTCAGCGCCTTGGGACGTCCTCCTGACGTGAAAGACGCTATACAAATACAATTTTGTTGCATCAATCCTGGTATTTATGTTCAGTGCCAGCCAAAACTCACTTCATGGTTGTTTCGTGCTGCATTCACCTACAAAATACAGTCACTGTACATTAGTCTATTCCTCTTAAACCTCGTGAAAGGTATTATGTCAAATAAAGGGTTAGCAATAGTGGGTAGTAATATCTTAAAATTTTAGCAATCTCATTTAATTGACTTTGAGTGCTGCTGAATGACATTGTAAGTGAACAACAATAATAATAATAATTCTTGTATTTGATGCAGCGCCTTTCATGTCGGGAAGATGGCTCGGAAAGTGCTACACCGGATTCTCTCTAAAATGTCGTGACTGCGTACGTTGTCGGCGAACTGAGCATTTGGGAAATCCCACGAAACTCTTCTGCACGTGCTGATAGATCACTGTTAGTGAGCGGCAAACTACCTGAGCTTTTCTGCTTTGGTTAAGGGTTTGTGAATCTCAGAGACACCAGCAAGGAGAGTATTTGAGAAATCTTATTCGTGAGGGATGAATGGTTATTTTCGGTTCATTTAATATATTCAAGTGGCCACTGGATGGCAGTAGTTTGCCTCTCACATGCAATATAGAATAAATTAACCTTGGCAGGTCCGAGGTATTACACGTTCAATCAAACAAAAGCAAGGCACTTGAACTAATCCCAGTGATAATAAATTTCAGCAGTATCGACGGAAGGAAAGTCAACACGCAGAACATAAGAAATGCTGGACCAAAAAAAAAACCACGGTCCTTCTAGTTCACCTTCCTGGCGAGCGCATGCACATATGTCCCAAATTACCCATGTATTATATCCCATAATATTATTTCCTAAAGGAAAATAAGAACATAAACGCTAGATGTAGCTCAGTGGTTAGAGCACTCGCTTTGCAAGTGAGAGACCTGAGTTCAATTCCAGGCAGGTCAGGGCGAAACCTTGGGCAAGTTTCCTTACTCCACACAGAGCCTAATAATAATCCCTCCAAAACCAAAAACAATAATAAAATTGGTGATTTTCAATCTACGACTGTTTGTGGGACATTGCTGTGCGCAATTGGCTGCCGCGTTCGCCCACAAATATACAGTCAATTCACTTTACAATGTGTTCTGTGAAGCACTTTGGGACGTCCTCCCGACGTGAAAAGCACTATATCAAATGCAAGGATTATTATTATTATTAGATGAAAAAAAGACCACAAACAGTCGGGATTGAGTGACCAAATTTTTTTTTTTTTAAGGATTATTATCCTCGAAGAAGCAATCCACCAATCGACTAACAACCGGGTTCCTACTTACTGTTAGGTAAGCAGAGGCGTGTGGAGTAAGGAGACTTGCCCAACATTTCACTCCTATTTTTTTTAACGTATGATATTTTGTCATGTATACTCAAATACAGCCCACGTTGTTTAAATTGATAAAATTACCTTTAGCAATAACATGCATTATACATGGAACAAACTAAGAAATTAACATGAATAAATTATATGGCATACCCTGCATGTGTTTATTAAAACCTTTTAATCCCATATCGTTATAGATTCCTGAGAAAGGTTATTGTTACCATTTACATTGCTCAACAGAAAATCGTCTTACATTAAGAAGTTTATTTCTGGCGTTATCTGCAGATTAACCTTTATTTGTTAAATTAACAGGATCTCTATTGGCCCCATATTCAAATATTCAGTAATTTTACATCTAATTATTACAGAGCTGCAAACTAATTCACCATTAAGAATTTTCCTATTCCTGTACCTGCTCCTTAATTGTCAATGGGTTGAACACACTATCAGCATAAGTAAACTGAACATCATCAATTTAGCCAATTAATAGGGGTGACTTGCATTCATTTCCTATTTTTGATATTATGAACTCATACGAATCTCAGTCAAAAAGTCTTTTTTGACTGAAAAAGCCCCAATAATAATTTGATCACTCAATCCGCGACTGTTTGTGGGACGCCTCTGTGCGCAATTGGCTCCGCGTTTCGCCCATACAATATACAGTCAAGTCACTTTACAGTATATTCTGTGATGGCCATTAAATACAGCCGTCATCACTCCTATCCTTTCAAAACCCTCCCTGGATCCATCTCTACTCCCAAACTACCGCCCCATCTCCAACCTCTCTTTCCTCTCCAAGGTCCTGGAACGAGTTGTTGCTTCCCAGCTTAGTTGGGAACACTCAGCAGGTCAGGCAGCATCTACGGAGCAAGGAAAGTGAGTCAACATTTCAGAAAAGGTGAAAAGGTGTGACTGGGACCAAGATGATGTGGTAATCGGCACAGAAGAGAGGGAGGGGGGAAGGTGAGCTGTTATGGTCTGAAATTGTTGAAACCGATATTGAGGCCAGAGGGCTGTAATAATAATAATAATAATCCTTGCATTTGATATAGCGCTTTTCACGTTGGGAGGATGTCCCAAAGCGCTTCACAGAACACACTGTAAAGTGAATTGACTGTTTATTTGTGGGCGAACGCGACAGCCAATTGCGCACAGCAATGTCCCACAAACAGTCGTAGAATGAAAATGACCAATTTATTATTGTTTTTGGATTTGGAGGGACTGTAAGGTCCCTAGCAGATAAATGAGGTGCTGTTCCTCGAGCTTGCGCTGTGGCTCATTGGAACAGCATAGGAGACTGTGGGTGGAGAGGTCAGAGTGAGAGGGAGAGTTGAAATGACAAGAAACTGGAAGCTCAGGAATGTGCTTGCGGACAGAATGGAGATGTTCGGCAAATCGGTCGCCCAGTCTGTGTTTCGTCTCCCCAATGTAGAGAGACCACATCGTGAGCAGCGAATGCAGTGAACTACACTGGTGATAGTGACCATAAATCACTGTCTCACTTGAAATCTGTGTTTGGGGCTCTGAACAGTGGTATGGGAGGTGAAAAAACAACTTTATATAGCGCCCTCCACGCCGGACGGTGTCTCAGAGCGCTCAGAGATCACAGGGCAGGTGTTGCACCTACTGCGCTGGTATGGGAAGGTGCCGGGGAGAGCAGAGGAACTGTTGGTGGTGATGGAGGAATGAACCAGGGAGTCACGGAGGGAACGGTCCCTTCGCAATGCTGAGAGGGGAGGGGGAGGGAAAGATATATTTCGTGGTTGGAGGCTGGAGGTGCCGGACTCTTGGTCCCAGACACCCCTTTTCTCTGCCTGATCTGCCTGTTTTGTTGCAATTTCCCCCCCATATACTTCCTGACTTTTGTATTCTATGCCCTATTTATGAAGCCTAGTTTCCCGTATGCTTTTTTAACAGCTTTATCTCCCTGTCCTGCCACCTTCAAAGATTTACTTATACCAGGTCTCCCTGTTCCTTCCTCCTCCTTAAGACTGTAGCATCATCTTATATCGCCTCTCCTCATTCTTCATCCCGAAATGCATCACTTCGCTTTTCTCCACATTAGACTTCATCTGCTACGTGTCTGCCCATTTTACCAGTCTGTCTATGTCCATTTGCAGTCTGCTACTATCCTCCTCACCGTTTACTACTACGTGGAGTCCTGTAGCTCAGTGGTTAGAGCACTCGCTTTGCAAGCGAGAGACCTGAGTTCAATCCCAGGCAGAGGGCGAAACCTTGGGCAAGTTTCCTTACTCCACACAGAGCCTAATAATAATCCCTCCAAAACCAAAAACAATAATAAATTGGTCATTTTCAATCTACGACTGTTTGTGGGACATTGCTGTGCGCAATTGGCTGCCGCGTTCGCCCACAAATATACAGTCAATTCACTT